ATACAGTAAGTGCACATGTTGTCACATCCCCTCATTATTGAGCTGAAATTTTAATTCATATTATTTAATAAAACATATAGTAAAAGAACTCACACAAAGGCTGAAACAGAATCCTGATTTAATCTAATAGGGGTAACATCTGCATAAGTCTCTTCTAAGGATAGTAATATATTTACAGCAGTTTGATTGTTTTCAGTTAGAGCCAACAAACGTGGCAGATCTCTATAACTATCAGGTCCAGCTACTATGTCTACCAGTTTGTCTTTTTCAAGTAACTTTGTCTTCAATCTTTCTGCCATACATCCTAGTACGCCAACTTTTAAAAATGGCTTGTACTCAATGAGACTTTTCTTTTTTTTCAAACTTTTTAGATATTCTAGTCTTTTCCATATTTTAACTTCTGCACTGTCTCTAATGGCACAAGTGATGAGTAAAACTATATCAGCTTCTAACAAATTTTCTGTTTTTAGAAAACCATTGTCTTTCAAAATGGACCAAACAATTTCGGTATCATTCACATTCATTTGACAACCATATACTTCAAAATAGACTTTTCTTTTTAATCCATAGTTGCTATTCCTGTCCAAGTATGGAACTGGGTCACTTTTTAAAGCACTATGTAATGTAACATTATTTTCTTTTTGAATGAACTCCTTTAAAGAAGGTCCTGGTTTTATTAGCTTCTCTTTTTGAATTATGTTTAACTTCTGCAATTCCTTCTTTTCGTGGTTTTTAGTGGTTTCTTCAAGAACGTCAAATCTTGATAACGTCGACTTGGTTCGAAAAAACCGTTGTACTATAATTTTTCTTAAAATCACGTTTTTCATTTTGCATTAGAAATGTTGTATAATGAAGGAAAAATGAACAAATGAGTGTATTACACTTTTTTCTTTCAAAAACTTTTAAAAAGCGTTAGGATGTGACGTTTAACCTATCAAAATTGTCATTCTATTTTAATGGTTATGTTATTCTATTATCTTTGAATGTTATCTATGGTTAAAAGAATTTGTAAACCATTAAAGAATAAGTAGTTATCATTGATCTAATCGAAATACTTCAACGTTGAAATTTTAATGTAATTGAATACTACATATTTAGTGTATAGTTTGCATACAAAATTTTTGTATAACTAAACAATTTTAAACGTTGTAATATTTTAAAACATTGTTATTTAATGTCAATTGAATTGACTAAATAAATCTAAAGGCGCTACCTACAAACATCAATAAATCCTAGTATTTATGCAATATTTGAATGCACCTAAAATATTCCTACAAATATATTATCTATGAAATAAATCTACAAATAAATAAAAATACAAATGTCGATTTAACAATAATTGTTATAACCCGTTTGTGTACAAAATTAAAGCGGAATCAATAATTTAGGAAAAGAATAATACTTTTTAGTTTGTATTGTTTTCTTTAATCGTGTGCTTTTTATAAGTGGTGGAAATGAGCAGAAGACAAGAAAATATAACTGGTAATATTGTTTACTTTTTTAAAATATACTTTAATCTTAATTTGATTCATAAATTTAGTAATGCCTTTTAATTATTTACTTACGTACTTTTTGACTTAAATCTTTAAATTTAACAGTGTTTATTAGGCACAAACTTCAGCAGGCATCGAGACAGATCCAGATCTCCTCAAAGAAAAAAAGATGTGTTTATTAAAAATGAAACAAAAGGTGAAGATGAAAACGTATTTAAATCAAAAGACAAGGAAAGCCAAGTCAAAGAGGAGAAGAGATCTGAGAATGTTTCGCTTAGTGCAAAAAATCGGTTAAAAACAATTGGAATTCAAATGAAACTTAGTAGTCAAAAACCAACTTCTTCGAAACCGAAAATGTCTGTGGCATCTGCTTTTAATCAGGAAAGTGACGACGAACCCGAAGAAATGCCACCAGAATGTAAAATGAGAATGAGAAATATAGGAAGGTAGCTAAAATAGAATAAATAAAATATAAATGTACAGTTTTTTACCAAGAATTATCTTACAGAGATACACCAACTTCATCTGGGCCTAACTCTTTTGGTAAAACAAAACAAGGATTTTCAGATGCTAAAAAACTCTTTGAAAAAAATTTAAAAGAGGCAATGGAAAGTGCCATAGCAGATGATTAAGGTTTTTTACTTGGCATACACAACTTTATTTTTTAATAACTGTAGGCAATTATCGAGCGGAATTATTGAATGTAGATGCAACTTGAACAGTTTGTAGCAATAATTTATCATGAAGAAACAATTGGTCTGTTGTTAATTTTTATTTATAACTTCTGCTTAATTATTCAAATTGTGTATATCCATTGTGTTGGTATTACAATAAATGTGTACATAAGAAAATAAACAATTATCTGTTTAAAAGCTGAGTTTTATTCTTGGCAAAAGTATAACAAGGGTCATTTAAATCAAAACAACGACAGCATTTTCATGTTTTATTTATATATTTATGCACTAAACACGCTTTACTTCCTAACTTGAGGCATAATATTTCTGGTGTTGTCTCTACCAGGGAAACTGCGTTGAGGAGGAGTCCTAATTCTTCTCTCCTTTTTACTTCTGTTACGCACAACTTTGCTGTGAATTGCACACGATACACAATAGTGCAATTTAGCATATAGTTTTGGTAATTGATATTCTAAAAAGAAAAATACTTTAAATATATTCCTTAATTAAATGCCAACTATCACGTACGGGTGTACACTGAAGCCTCAGTGATATCCCTAACTGCAGCAGCTTCAACAATATTTCTGATGACAAATTTTTTGATTGCCTTGTCTTTAGGAACACATCTGGCACAATTAGTACAACGTACAGGTTTCACATGGCCGCGACCATGCTTTGCACGACCTCCATTCCTTCTTTTGCAGGTCTGAAACATAAAATTGTACACCATGCGGTTGTCTTTAAAGGTTAGAAAAGCTAGTTGGCTGCCTTAAGACATTTTCCTTTCATTAAAGAACAAATAAACACAAAATATTTAATTCAGCAACCAAATATCTCTTGATCTATCTCACAAAACTATAATTTTCTTACCATTTTCGTACTTTCAGATTGAACAACAGTCAATTAACGGGAATAAAAGAATGTTAGTTCTATGGTTAGTTACTTTTAGTGTTCAGGGATTTTTTTGTAAACCAATTGGCGACAATGAATTACCGGAAATATTTCTAAGCGGCAAATTTAAAATTGAATGAGGTAAAAATGAAAGTAGGGCAAGCAAAAATTACAACATTAAGAAATTTCCTAATCCTATCTTTATATTTCTGCATTGGTTTCACGGAAATTTTCTGTAAAAAATTACGCGCATGATCGACCAATTCCTTGCAAAAGCAAAACGCTCTACTAAATCTTAGTTCTTGTATAAAAGTTTTTATTTTCTATTCTTGCGGTTAAGTGAAAGTATTTAGTGCTATAAATACCAAATTTTGTTATTAGCACGCTAAATGCATTTTCTCGCTTCGCGATAAGACTTAACTATGTGATGAAATATGTTATTCGAGGGGGTTAATAGTTTTCAATCAGCATGAAATGGGTAAGTAAAAATTTGTTTTTGAATGTTTAAAAATTACTAAGTAAGAGGTAAATTTTTAGACAATTGGGATTATAATTTTTGTGTATTTGTACGAGATGACAAAGGCTTCATTAAAGGAGAATACCCGAGGTGCACCCTTAGATTTAAAAACAAAATCAAGTGAACATATTCACAGGTATGCCCATTTGTCTGACGCATTTGTAGATTTTGGTGCTCATACAGGAAATAATGGGGCTTATGGATGGTATGCAGATTTTCCTGTACAATAAACAACGTAAACAACATTAAACAATAATTACTCACACAACATTACAACAATTTTGAGATAATGGTGTCTCAAAACAAAAAACAACTTCTCTTTACTGCACCAATAATAATGCTCTCACGGAGTTATATTCTACAAAGTAATAATGTGATAAAGACTGCTAATATTTTCTTTCTAAATAATCTTGTTTTCTTTACTTTTGTTATCTAGTTTTTGGTAGATTAATTTTTAGTAGTAAAGCGTTTTGATTTTTATTTTAAATTTTCATGACAATAAGCCAAAGGAATATCACATAATTTATGTTCTCAGGTATATAATAAATGATTCAAACGCTTTAACTTATTAATAATCTTGCTTTTTCAGTTTTATTTTAATTCACCTATTCTACTCTTTTTCATGTTCACTTCATTAATCGCAATTTATTATATCTACATTCTTACATTATTGAAGCCTTTTCTAATGCTCTCTATTTGATTTTCGTACTTTTCTTTTCTTTTATACTCATTTCTATGTAATCTTTTTACTAGTTCACATTTATTTTCTCTTTAATCCTATACAAATTTTTCTAATCGAATCTTTTAAATGTCCTAACTTGACTATGACTGTTTACTTTTCTTTAATATACTAATAACTTCTTATGTAACAGCAAATAATTATAGCTACTCTGTTTTCCTTCCTATAAATGCATAGGTACCCAGTTGACCTCACTTTGTAGATGCTTTGCTGCAAATATTTTTTTCTTATCTTAGGATTTTATTGTTTATTTTTCTACTATGTAGAATGTAGATTAAATTTTTAGTTCCTCCTTAAATAATTTCTTTTGGTTTTCTATTTATTGCTATACAAATACTAATTAATGATATTTTCCTTTTTGATAGTTTTTTTTTTATTAGTTTCAACTAACCCATTTTGAATTTCCTAAGTTTTTACCACTTCTATCTTTTACTTTCATTCTTTAGTAATTCTTCAGTGGCTTTTAAAATGTTCTTTTTTCTTTCCACTCTTTTCTATTTTTAAGCCTGTTAATGTGTACATATCTTTCTCAGTTTTTTAACTGCTCTCTAGTAGTCCATGTAGAAACTAAATTAACATTCAAACTTGCTCTTTTTCTTTTTTCTTCTTTTATAATTTAGTTTCTTTTTTCTTTCTTTCTTTCTTTACTTTCTTTATGCTTACGATCAATGTAGACTTGTTTTTTTTCTTTTGAGTACTAACATTTTACTTTCACATTCTTACTAACAAATTATTTTCTTCCAAGTATATTCTCTTGTAGGAACATTAACAAATTAACGTATTGTACTTTTCTTTTATGCTCTTATTCACTTTTACTTCCTTTTTGCTGTATTTCGTTTAATAATTTCTCTTCTTCTCTTTCCTTGTTTATAAAAAAAATACGTATTAAATAATTTTTTGTGATACCAAAAACAACAAAATATGCTTTAATTATAGTTATAACTGTCTGTTTAATAAGAATTAACTATAATATATATATTCCTAATTATAAGTACAACGATTATTATAGTTAATATGTTGCATCTTTATCTATTATAATAAAAGCCTTTATTAACATTGACGTAGTTTTTATTACCGTTTACAGATGATATTAGCAACAAAATCAACGCACTTATATATTTATGTATATGTATAGAGCTGTCTGTATATGTCTATTATATTGTATGTCAATAAATATTTATGTATGTACATTTAATAAATATTAAATAGCACACTTTCATCTCTTTGGTCATTTTGATAACAGCACTTTACTGAAGAAAACGATAGTAATATTAACATTCCCTTAGTTCCTTTTAACTGTAGAACTTTCCTTTTTTTAACAATTAATGAGATATTACATGCAACATCATTTTAGGTCGACAAAGGTTCTTTATATAATTCAATACATAGTCATCAGTTTTAGGCCAAGAAGATGGAAAAATAGAAGCGATTCATTTTTATTGCTAGACAATGAGTTCTTTTCGCAATTAGATCAAAAATGACAAAAATTTTATAATTTTTTTCATCAATTAACAGTTTAAAAAGATATTAAAAAGAATTACCCTGTATTACTAGCATTTCCTTTCTTCTTAAACTTAAAAACAACACAAAAACTGTAAGCTTAATTAGTATCAAAAACCAATTGTGATAAAAAATCTGTATCATTTTATTACTCGTCAATAAAAGTTTTTGAATTTATCATTTAACATTTTTGAGTAGGTATAGTTTTTGAAAGGTACACTTAACATATCTTTTATTTTATGTTAAAACATCACAGGAGCATGAAATTAGATAGAAATCAAATAGAGGCCAATTGCGATTAAAGTTTTTTGAGTAAGTACCCATTAGTTAAGATATAAAGATACATATGGTGGGTATTAGTTGACTTATGCTAAATTTTAAGTTCGCAAGAGTTTTTTAAACATACATTTAAGGTTTCCAACCCATTATCACCTTCTTGAAAGGAACAAACACGGCATGATGAGGCTCACTGAACGTGAAAATAAGCGAATTAGTAAAAACTTAGTTATAAACATAAGAAAGAACATAGAGTGTATACGTACCAGCTAAAATAACGCCTATTATGAAAAACACCATCAGAATGACCATCTGGAGTACTCAATTGCACCCCCACATATTGATCCGTTTGTCCAGCAACAGGTCCCACGTATCTTACTCTGCCCCCTCGAACTTTTCCATCCCCTGGCACAATAACTTTCACCCAGTGCTCATGCCTCAAATCGTGGGGTGTTCTGGGTAAAAAGGGGTGCCAATCGAGCGGTATACTATCCCTACACGGTTCAGGGGCTGACGCTCGTCTACTACCCTTGACCCTAAATCAAATTACAACTTCAAAAATAATCTCAAAAGATAAAAAACAGAAACTCCAAATTTATAAAATTAAAATAAAAAGCAAAAAATATAAGATCGAAAAACTTGCCTATGATAATCTCGTCTGCTAGTAAGACAATCGATCGAACGTCTTAGGAAACTTTCAGCTTCGTCTACCAAACTATCCGTAGAGTCTCCGCTGTCCCCTGTACTGTTCCAGTCAACCCTCAATTCTGGTAAAGATCCATTGGCAAAGCGGACTTTCGAAGTATGTTTTAAGTAAGGTCGACGAGAAGGTGATACCGGGGCGGAACACCTCCTCGAAGGAACAGGTGGAGACAAAGGATAAATACTGTTGTAACGGGAATGTGAACCTGACCTGCTCATTTCCAAAGGAGATACAATTGTTGTCCAGTTGAATTTTTGTGACTAACACAAAATATGAATTAGTTGCTTAAACACTAATTAAATTAATAAAGTGCAACTAATGACAAAAAAAATAAAAAGTATCTTACTGTCATGCTTGGCGAATAAAGATCTGGTGCCCTCAAAAATTGTCCATATTGGACCGGAGTAGGTGTTTGTAAAGTATCGGGCCCTAAATGATCTGCAGATCGAGATAATTCTGGTACCATGCTGGTAAACCCAATATCCGACAAAAGGACCCTACGAGCCTCTACCGTTTTCTCTGATAATCTAATTCGAGAACATGGTAAGGGCAACTTGGAAGGGAGCGTTGCAAAATTTTCTCCTACTTTAATCTATTAAGTAGATAGATTGTAATTATAAAAAATTTGAAAAAATCATGAAACGAAATTAGGAATTTTATTATTTACTTATAATTATAGATCATCACACATACCTTATGGGCTAGACTGCTCTCAGATCTCCAAAATGTATTTGGAAGAGCTGTTATATCCGTCTGAGCTCCAGAATCCCGTCTTGCAGCAGTGGACTGTCCCAAAATGGGCCTCCCTTTGCGAATATTAAGTCCCTTGCCTACAGCCTCCCTAGGAAATTTTAAAAATCAGAAAAAGGATTGAATACAGTACATATGTATAAAAACGTACCGATGAATTATAGGCCTATATGGTAATGGATTTGGGCAGGTGTTTCTCCTGGTTACAGAAAAGTCTACATCAACAATTCCACATTTCGATATATCAGTCTCAATGATTTGCACCTTTTCATTAAACTGATCAAAACTTTCCTCTTTGTCAAAAGATCTATTTTCGAAGCTAGAGTCCTGGCAAGAATAACAACTTTTTAAACTTCTCTCTTCCTGGTTAATCGAAGTATCAGACTTTGAATTGCACATTTGAGGATTGCATTCTGAACATTTGGAACCGTCTGCGACTTCATTGAAGACTTCGTCATCTAATTCTCTATCAGACATTTCAAACGACAAATTGTTATCGGTATCATTACCTGCGTTAGGACATTGGAGATGCTGCATATTATCACTAGTCTCAATCGGTACCAATTCTTCCTTAAAATCAGAATCTTTTGTGTCGTCTGTGGTAAATATAAGTTCTATATCATCCACTTCCTCGTTTTGGTCTAATTCATTATTTAACGACATGTTCTGAACAGATTCGAATTTTTGAAAAAGTTCTGCACCATCATTTTTTATTACTGATCGTTCTTTTACAGTGCTTGGAGTAGATGCTGAATCCTGGAAAACATTCAATGATTCATCTTCAACGATTTCTTTAAGTTCTGATTCAGAAATTTCAAACGAAGGGAGTTGGTTCTCTAAGGATGTTTCTTTAGTAGATGGTTCTAGCCCATCAGATTGAGATTCAGGATTATCTAATGATGAAGAGAAACATAAACTAGTCTTCGATTGTGACTGGAGATTTTCTGGCATAGACTTGACCTGTGAGCGACGTAATAAGGTCTGGTTATCTTTTAGAATCTCTTCTACTTTTGAAGGATTTATTTTCTCTTTTCTTTTGGACTCGGAAGAGGTTTCCTCTGATGGAGAATACTGAGGATCTTCAATAGAAGGCAGATGTACTTCATCTACTGTTACTTTATCAATTATTTTATCTTCGTTTGAAGAAGTCTGGATATCTGTAGGATGGGTAACCGATTTTTCCAAGGAATGTGTGGCTTCTGGAATTTCGGCAATTTTACTAGCACCTGTTTTTTCAGTCATTGTGTTTTCATTAGTTTCTAGTATGAAGACCTCAAATGAGTTATCAAGAAACTTCACAGTCTTCTTTATGTCTGATATATTTGAAAAACTCACAATTTTAGAAATTGCTAGATTTTTACTTTTTAAATTATCAGAAGTCTTTGAAACAAACAAGTCTTCTAAAGAAGTAGAAACTTTTTGGGGACTAATGTTATCCACAATAACTGTAATTTTTTCTTTACAATTGTCTTCTTCTAAATCTGCAGATTGCTCAAATTTTTTAACAGTTTCAATAGAGTTGCGAAGTGCGTTTTGTTGCTTATCTGCTTCTATATTATCAGATTGCGTAATATCTGAAATAACATTAGGTAAATTTGGAACTTTCTCTTTTAATTCATTGTATGACTCAATGTTATCAATTACATTTTCCTCAACAGATTTTTCATTATGTTCTGTTTCCTTGTCAACATAATCGTTTGCTATTTCTGAATGTTTTTCAGCTTTTTTCTCAAGTTTGGTTGATGTATCTGAACTTTGTTGTCTGCAAGTTTGTAATTCACTAAGTTCTTCTTCTGATGAGTCAGATCCTGTAACTTCAAGTCTCGGTATTTTTATTATAACATTCTTTTTAGGGGATTGCCCTAAATTTCTTTTAAGAGAAGGTTTTAAAAAACTATCACCAACAAGCCTCTCATTGGTATCATAACCAGAAGCCTCACTTGTCTGAGGTTTACAGGTCAAAGAATCTAATTTATTTTCTTCTGGTTTACCAGTTTTGAAAATTGTAGTGCTTAAATTAGTTTTACCACATATAATTGGATCCAATGGTCTGTTGTTGTGACATATGCCCTTCTCCAATTTTGAAATATTAGAATTAGTTTCAGTGGCAACATTTCTAACACCTTTTTTTAAAACTTGCTCACTAAGGCAACAAACTTCTTGTTTAGTCAATATGTGTGTTTTTAAAACATGGTTTTCAATTGTCAAAGTACTTAAACAATCTTGCACAGACTCAACAGGAAAAGCTTTTTGCTTTAGTTGTACTATTTCACTTTTACTTTGTTCTAAAGCCTTTCTCAAGGAAATTATAGTTTGATGAAGCACTCTTACAGTGTCCAAACATGGTCCATTATTTTTTGAAAGATCAATATTTTCCATTTTTGTTTACTATAATCCATACTGCGACCTTTTTCGTCCTTTCTCTTAATTTCAACCAATTCCTATTTACAACAATTATTATTAACTGAGAGTTAGCAAAAACTTAAATTAAAAAATGCGTATTAAATTCTTTATTAATATGCACTAAAATTATTTATTTTAAAAATATAATTTACTTACAAGAACAAACTCAGGTTAACTATTTTGTTAATTTTCAAGAATTAATAATCTAAACCTAAATCATTTATTACTAATTGTTAAATCTTATTTTCCGTGTAAAAGGAAATCAATACAATGCCATAAAATAAATTCGTAGTTGCCCGGGGATTGTGACGCAAGCAAATACATACATTTCTCGTTTATCTCTTTTTTACTCACGGGGAAAAAAGATAAAGGAGACAAGTAAAATGTTGAAACACAAAACTTTTTTGAATCAGGAAACGCTTAGAATATGTGATATATGATAGTTAATTATTTAGAGTGAAAGTATGTAAATATAAAAAGCAACAACTTACCAGTTTAAATAACAACAAGTTCTTCTCAGTTTCTCATAATTAAACTTAAAATTAATTATGGCACACGCAATTAGTTTTGCAGTACTGATGAATGAGTATGTGATTTAAAATGCGCGGAATTATTAATTACCTTTTTGTCACAAGGTTAAACCGATTAAAAAATATTACATTTTATTATACATTAGTATGAGTTTACATTACATTCATTTTGAATAATTTATTGTTGTATCACTTTAGCAACAGGATGAAAACTTTNGCTAAGGTGCGTTACCTATTTTATGGGTAGTTCGTCAATAGTAAAAATTAAGACCATCAAACACACACACACGCACATATGCGTACGTACACTGCAAAAATTATTTCTGAGTCGCACAGAAACGTCCGGCATTAAGCGTATTTCATTTGCTATTATACATTAGTATGAGTTTACATTACATTCATTTTGAATAATTTATTGTTGTATCACTTTAGCAACAGGATGAAAACTTTAAGGAAAATAGGAGTTACCCTTAACCTCAATTTTAACCTTAAATTTCACAAATCTAAATCGTAAAATAGTGTCTTAGTACGTAGTTTTATATACAAGTTTCAGTTTTTAAGCAGCCAATTAAACAAGGAGAATGCAATTAGCATGTTATAGGAACTCAATAATGGTTTTTGAAGAAGCGTACAATACCACATATTTATTTTGGGGGCACTTCAAAATGAAAATACTAGTTCATCATTGTTATTGTGCTATTATGGAACTACTTGAAATTAAGAGGTATGTTACAGCAAAAGAAGTTACTAATATATGTATGTAAGTAAATACCCATTTAATTAGAAAACTTCATTCTTTTACATATTAATATAACAATATTTAGATTGATAAGTGTTACTGCTTCTCAGTGAACTGAATGCTGAGTTAAATAAGTAAACAACAACTACAATTAATTTATCAAATTCGTTAAAATTTGATTTAAAAATGGGCTAATGGTTCTTTTGTTTGATAGTAATTTGAAAGGTGTATACAATAGACTGTTGATGTTTCAAAATTGGTGTTATTAAACCTATTAATTAAAGTATTAGGATATATTTCAACCCCACAAGGTCAATGACACCTTTTTCCTAGAAATAGCATTCGGTGGTCATGGTAACTTATGAAACCAAACAATAATTAAACATAATATGACTCAGTTCAAGACCTTCAGTTAGGCATAAATATAGAAGACTGTCAAAATTGAGTGTGATTTTTTTTAATTTTAGAGATCTGGGAAGAATTTTGAAGTAAAATGGACTTATTTAATAAAGAATCAAAACAGTTGCTTAAACAACTGGAAAGTGGTACTTTCAACCCAAGTTCACATCGTCTTCCACAATGGTTTAAAGAGATTTCACAGTATGTCTAAAAACATATTTTAACTTCTGTTAATTTTAAAAAATAACATTCAGAGAAACTCTTGAGAAAATTCGCGAAACTAAAGTTAAAGAAGCAACTAAGAAATTGTGTAGATTGTATTCCTCTCCTATAAATAAGTCATCAATGAAATCATCGTTTGATATCAGCCCAATGGAGAATGGAAATGGGCATGTGTATGTATTCTAATTCAATAAATACTTGAATTATGTCAAAAAGATAATTATTCTCAATAGCTCCAACGTTTCTGTTAATTTTATAAAAGTGACTGAACAGTTTCATTATCTGATAGTTGATAAAGTTGATGCCTTTTATAATAAAATTTAGCAGAGTTCAATATACTTTAATGAAACAATACTTTTTCCCATATTATTCTTATGAAAAAAAAAATGAGTATTGAATTTTACTATTTGAATAATTTTATTTATCAACTACTTTTACAGAAGAAATTCTTTTAAGTCAGCGAAAGAAACGCGTAAGTCAATTGATCTTAAAGAAAAGTATCCAACTCATACCCAGATTACCGAATCAAACTACATTGTTCCAAAAATGAAAGGGGCTCTTGATTTTCATAGTTTTGAGGAAGAGTGTAAGAAACAGAATTATTTGGAAAAGTCTTGGCAAAGTCTGAGTAGTTTTCACCAAACTCAAAGGGGCAGATTAAGCAAACGAGACACTATTGCCCAAAATAGACTCAAAAGTGATGGTAAGTTAAAAGAAATGATGGTGTAAGAAGTGGATTTTAGTTTTCTGTATGTGTACCATGTAATTAATATGTGTATTTAAATAAATTTTCGTTTTGATTACTTTTAATTTTTCATTTATTTCAAATTCTGATTATTTAATTTTATTGATTTTTTAATAGAAACGTGTCCCAAACAAGTTATTCTTTTTAGATTCAGATGAGGATAATCTTTCAAAGGGGCCACCTAAATCTTATTCAGCTGTTGGACTGACTAGATATACACCAACAGTATTAGAAAATGAAGAAAGTAAAAGTTTAAGGGATATGAAAAGTAAAAGGGGAAAATCTAGCAATGTACCTTTTTATGTATATTCAAATATTAAGAAAGTTACAGATCAAAATTCTTATGCTAACCTTGATTTAGACGATTTTGGCGCTTTTGATTACACTCTAAAGAACAAATCGAAATCTACTAATGATATTTGTGATGCTAAAACGACAAAAAGGCTGAATAACGGTTATAATAATTATTTAGCCTTTGATACTGACGCCATTTATTACACTGACTTGGATAAATTGCTTTACCAGCCTCGAATTAACAAGCAATTTGAAGAATATAGACAAAAAGTTAATACCAATATTGAAGGGATTTTAACTTTGAGCGGTAGAATATCTGCTAGATTAAGGGAAGATTGTAAAAGAAATATGCAAAAAGTGGAATCCCAAAATGATATTTACGCTACTGTACAAAAACCAAAATTAAAAAGCATTAACTCATTGCCAAATTCTAAAGCATACAATAGTTTTCATGCAATAGAGAGGGATGTTAACCTTGAAGAACCCCCCTTTGTGATACCAACTTTACCCACAGGAAAGTTTTTAAAAATCGATATTTTATCGACGTGGGGCGATAAACATTATGTCGGCTTAAATGGAATCGAAATATTTGGAACTGATGGTAGAATGGTAAATGTTAAAAGAGTAAGTATTTTTTAATTGTTAAACTTATTTTTTATTGATATGCTTTTTTTCTGGTCGTAATAAACTTTTTTACAAAAAACACAAATTTTTTGGCAAAATCTATACTTATTTGTTAAGCTCGAAGTTATTCCTCTTTTTTGTTTCACCAAGTAAAAAGTATATTTTTTTTAGATCAGGGCCTTTCCTCCTGATGTTAACATTTTACCAGAAAATAATAACGACCCCAGGGTAGTAGAAAACTTGTTGGATGGTATTAATCGCACCCAAGATGATGTACACTTATGGTTAGCACCGTTTAATATTGGTTCAAAACATGAAATATTGATAGAATTTACGAACATTACCACAGTGACAATGATAAGGATTTGGGTATGCTGTTTACTTTTCATTTGCTGCTTGAAGCTTTTAGATAAACTTCTTTTTTTTTTAAGAATTACAATAAATCAAGAATTCATTCCTATAGAGGTGTAAAGGATATAATAATTACCCTAGACACTTTTGAAATATTTAAAGGAGAAATTGTTAAAGCGTGCGGCGGTATTTTAGGCGGAGTTGATGCATTTGGGGATGTAAATACTACAATTAATCAAATAATGTTGTTATTTTGTGTGTTAATTATTTTAGACCATTTTGTTCACACTTGACGATCATATTTTGGAGCTTATATCAAGAAATGATAGATCGTTTTCAAGCCTAATCGGAGAACCAGATCATGCAAGAAATTTACAACTGGAAGGCAGACCGCCAACTGTTGCTGTAATGGATGTAATTATTATTTTTTATTAACTAAAGTGTGCAATAAGAAAATGCAACGACAAAAAACGGAAAAGAATTGAAATTAAATTTAAAAAGTTACGTTAATTTATTTCTAGGAAAGACCTATAACAGGCACAACCCATAATTTTTCAAACTTAAATTTGAGTGAAAAAACAATAGGAGATTGCAATGAAAAAATTTTGTTGGGTATAAGCCGATTAGATTTGGTTCTGTTAAAAAATTGGGGATATACAGATTTAATAGGACTTACAGGATTTGAAATTTTGAGAGGTTCTGACGAACCCTTGAATTTATCAGGGAAGAATTTAAGGTGTAGTTTTAACTCACCGTCAGATATAATGGAAAGACTGATAAACGGAGACAATTTCACCACGGATGCCAAAAAAATGTGGTCTATCCCATTTGTAGAACAGCAAAAAGTAGTTTTGTCCGTTGTTTTTGATGAAGTTGTATATGTTTCGGGTAAGTGAATCAGTTGATTTAAAGTTTCCTTGCTTTTTTAATTCAAATTATCATTGATTTCAATGATATGTTATCCTGACAAAGAATAAAGACCTTAGAATAATTTATAAGTAATTCATGTCTTATTAAAAAAAAGAATAAAAATACACATAGATCAATTAGCAAATAGAATTAAACAAATTACACGAAATATAAAAAAAATTATAAAGGAAAAAGTGAATTTTACTATTTGAATAATTTTATTTATCAACTACTTTTACAGAAGAAATTCTTTTAAGTCAGCGAAAGAAACGCGTAAGTCAATTGATCTTAAAGAAAAGTATCCAACTCATACCCAGATTACCGAATCAAACTACATTGTTCCAAAAATGAAAGGGGCTCTTGATTTTCATAGTTTTGAGGAAGAGTGTAAGAAACAGAATTATTTGGAAAAGTCTTGGCAAAGTCTGAGTAGTTTTCACCAAACTCAAAGGGGCAGATTAAGCAAACGAGACACTATTGCCCAAAATAGACTCAAAAGTGATGGTAAGTTAAAAGAAATGATGGTGTAAGAAGTGGATTTTAGTTTTCTGTATGTGTACCATGTAATTAATATGTGTATTTAAATAAATTTTCGTTTTGATTACTTTTAATTTTTCATTTATTTCAAATTCTGATTATTTAATTTTATTGATTTTTTAATAGAAACGTGTCCCAAACAAGTTATTCTTTTTAGATTCAGATGAGGATAATCTTTCAAAGGGGCCACCTAAATCTTATTCAGCTGTTGGACTGACTAGATATACACCAACAGTATTAGAAAATGAAGAAAGTAAAAGTTTAAGGGATATGAAAAGTAAAAGGGGAAAATCTAGCNTTCCGCATCCTCCAAAGGCGACAAAATCAGTATTTTGGGCAAAATCTCCACCTAAAATTTACGTGGAAAAACCAACCAGGCATCGTAAGTTATATATATTTTTAATTTTTTGTAATATAGTAAACATAGGTAGGTAGTTGCTGAGCATGAAAGTGTAGAAAATTTTCTATTAATATTTCTCTATATTGTACCTATCTGAAATTCTATATTTTTATAGTACGTTTATAACTGTATTGTTTTTAAACATAGAAGAGAATATAATAGAATATATTTCCCCCAAAATTGCACGACAAGTCAGTTTATTACTCATTATTTTTTTCAAATGTCTTATTTTTATTATTTTAATTTTTCAGATTCTTGTTGACGATTTATTAGTTTATAATGGTATATTGGAAATTTATTGCCCGGAGAGAAACCCTAATTGCTCTCTTGTCTTATTTGCAGAAAATAAAAGCATTTTAGAGAAAGATGTGGATTCCATTTCTAAGTGAGTTTTTTATTTTAATTTAATTTAAGCGTCGTATAATGAAAAACATGCATTTGTTGTAGGAGTTTACAACTACAACAAGATCTTCTAATTATTAATGAAAGCAAAGGTAAAAATAATACATATACTAAAAACCCCGATCAATCTTTGCGACCATACACATCAGTTATTACGTAAAAAATGTAAGTGTAAGTCTTATTTGTATATTTTAATAGGTTTGGTTTAATTATGGTTCTATGATTAATTTTTTTTTGCGTCCAAATGATACTCGTTCAAATAAAAAGACATTATTCAAATTGTTTTTTTAGAATAGCAATCCAAACCCCAACCATTGCTATTGTACGATAATTAGTTCAAATTTACAAACTAACTAACATACTTAAAGTACAGAAGAGGTTCCCGATGCGCAAGTGGCCACATTGCTCGCTTCGCGCAATGTATATGTGTTACACTGTCCGACATGTGCATAATGAACTTCTGTAAATGTAAATTTATAATTTTCAAGTTTTTGGAAGGCTTTTCCTCTAAAGAAAATATGTGAAAAGTAAATTTTTAACGATATCTGTTGTAGATATTGTTTACTAGAAAAGAAGGAAAATTTTAATTTTTGGATCTTTTTCCTTTTTTATCAGTTTTGTCTTTGACTCATTGAACACACCCTTCGAAATGATACAAAATATGACGTTTACAATTTAGAGGTTATGATTTTGATAATCTGACCTTTAATAACAATAATATTTATTAAAAATATAAAGTAGTAATAACACTAAAAATTGTATACAAAGATTATGGTAATTACTATTAATATAAACTCGATTTGCATTTGTTAAATAATGGAAAGTTTATTCACTGAACTCAAGATACCAAAAAAGTGTATTAAAAGTACCAAAAGAGAAGATAGATTTAAAGTTGTTGTCTATAAACCTTGGCTGAAGTGAGTATAGAAATAATTTTGTATTTAATTAATTAAAATGTTTTATATTATTGTAGAACTCTCATAAAACAATCAAAGTTAATCGAGTTTTCTGAAAAACCTAATTTTGAAGTATGGCCAGAAACAGAAGATGAACTAGGACAAGAATGGATGAAAATATTTATTCGTGTTTTCATAAAAAGTGAAAGCAAAGTAATTCCTCTTCCTAAAATAAAGGGCTGCATAAAAAATGAGCCTCCTCTTATGTTTTCTCAGCTTTTGCAGTATGTATCACTTACAAACTACAAAAACTTATGGAAGGAGGCTTATAAAAAATACAGTAGTTCGTCAGAAACTATGCAAAATACTCAAATTACTTTATCTTCATACAATGAAGTTTTGAGAGAAGTAATAACCAGGACATATGGCTGTTCAATAGTAAATATATGTGATAATAGTTTAAGTATTCAAAATTCTGATAATTATGACACCCCTTCAAATATAGTTCCAGCAGTTCTTGGCCTTGAAACCTTGAATGCAATTTTTTTATTGCACATCTCTTATTTCCACCACAGCTTGCAAGATTGCATTTCCTTCAGTCCTGCAATATTAGATAAATGTTTCACAAAGCCTCTGTTTATTGTTTACCAATTGTTACACTCATTTAAGTCATTACATGACCGAAGTCTAACTCTAGGTGATATTGCATTACGTGACATTTATTTAAATGAAGACTTATGGATTCAAATTTTTCCTCAACTCTTGTCAAATATGCACATCCAAGACCTGTCAAATTCAGACAATAAAAAGACATCAAACATTCCTGAATGCCAAAAAATTGGTCACAAATTTCATTCCAATATGAAATGCTACAATTGTGGCATGAGAATGTATGATAAGGTTCAAGTGACCAATGAACCTTTACATAAGTTATGTGAACTTTGGGTCCATGGGGGTATATCAAACTTCACCTACATTACCGCCTTAAATAACGCTTCAGGGCGCACATTAGGTGACCCAAGGTGTCATCATGTTTTTCCATGGGTAACCGATTTCACATCTCCTTGTGGAAGAAATTGGCGCGACTTAAAAAAATCTAAATATCGTTTAAATAAAGGTGACTGTCAGCTGGATTTGACGTTTGAAAATTCTCAAACACAAGTTCCCCACCATGTCTCAGATGTTTTATCACCGATTACGTATTATGTGTACATGGCAAGAAGAACTCCCAAGTCCGTGTTATGCAAAAACGTGAGAAGTAACTGGGTACCTGCTGAGTATCCTATTTCTATACAAAGAATGCAACAGTGGACTCCTGATGAATGTATTCCCGAATTTTTCACGGATCCCACTGTTTTTAAGAGTATTCATGATGATTTGGATGATTTAGAGGTACCACCATGGAGCTGTAGCCCTGAAGATTTTGTACTCCAACATAGAGAAATTTTAGAAAGCTCTCACGTTTCAGAAAGACTTCATCATTGGATAGATTTAACTTTTGGTTACAAGTAAGTTTTAAAGTTAAATTGGCATATTTTTTAATGTCCATACTTTTATTAATGACTGGATACTTATTTCAAAACGTTTTAATTATTCTACAGATTATCAGGAAATGCTGCAATTAAATCCAAAAATGTTTGCTTACCTCTAGTGGATGGACACAAAAATTTAACAAAGTCTGGACTTGTTCAGCTATTTTTACTTCCGCATCCTCCAAAGGCGACAAAATCAGTATTTTGGGCAAAATCTCCACCTAAAATTTACGTGGAAAAACCAACCAGGCATCGTAAGTTATATATATTTTTAATTTTTTGTAATATAGTAAACATAGGTAGGTAGTTGCTGAGCATGAAAGTGTAGAAAATTTTCTATTAATATTTCTCTATATTGTACCTATCTGAAATTCTATATTTTTATAGTACGTTTATAACTGTATTGTTTTTAAACATAGAAGAGAATATAATAGAATATATTTCCCCCAAAATTGCAGTACAGTTTAAAATTTGTTCCTTTATGTAACATGTATACAGGGTGTTTCTGAAATAAATAGCCCGCTTTAAAGGGTGTTAACCAGATGCAATAAAAAATCAAATGGTGAGTAAAGCAGCGTGTTTAAGGGACAAAAAATTGTAACAAAACCAGAAGAAGTTGCAATCCGGAGCCGATTCTGGGCGTGAATTAGCAACGTATTGAGAAATTACAATAACAACTTAAGAACACAGAAAAAAGAAAAAATTAACGTTATGTAAACTTTAATGGGTAAATTAATATCGTCTGAATAGGTAATAGTAATTTTATTAAATTTTCAAGCCACGATTGAGGTATTGCTAAGGTGCGTTACCTATTTTATGGGTAGTTCGTCAATAGTAAAAATTAAGACCATCAAACACACACACACGCACATATGCGTACGTACACTGCAAAAATTATTTCTGAGTCGCACAGAAACGTCCGGCATTAAGCGTATTTCATTTGCAGCGTTCATGCATTAAATCAGTAGAGTTCTGCGCTGGCATTTGACACTTGTGCTGTTTCATACAGCTCTATACAAAGAAGTCAAATAATACTATTCTACACTGACCAATGATACTAACACATTGACCTACTTCTAATGACTTCAACTGTCTACGTACATACATAATACAAGCCTACAACGTTAATAGAATAAGAACTACTCCAGACTGGTTGTAAACATAAACATCGTCGATCACATTTAATCTAATCTAACAAATAACAAACAATACATGAGTACAAAAATACATAATAAATACAGCACGAATGCTACTAAATAGCAGCTGATTGGATGCGGCGTGTAATATCATATTTCTTTGCGTGGTCCCACCAGGGCCGGATTGGCCCTTACCTGTACTTTCAAATATGTTTTTCTCGAAAGCGGTGGACTATCGAACCCCCAAACATCATCACCTCCTGCAAGGTTGCTACTTATTTCACAAACACCTTGTATTGTATGCAAGGTTCAAAAATATAGTTGTAGCCAAAAAACTTAAACTAAGTATCTAATAGAATTAAAGTAAAAATTAATTAACTTGAAATAAAATATGATAATCTGCTAGATCTGACTCTTACACCTAATAGGAACATTCGACCCAATCCAAGGCAAATCAATTATATTATTAATCTGAAAATATTGTAATCGTATGTCATATGTTATCATAATATACTCAATATTTCCTCTTTAATTTTCTAGAAAGTGCTCTAAATTGGTAGTATATATTTTTTATTAGATTGTCTTAGCTTTCTTTTTAATTGGTTTAATGGTTCTTAATTAAAATAATATCTTAAAATGTTAAGAATTAAAAAAATTGCGGTACAGAATTAATAAAAAAATTATAACTGATGACAAAGAGCCACCCTACTATGAACGCAATTTTATTTTTAATTTAACAGGTATTAGAGACCGGAGCACATCATCCATGCAAAATTTAGATTCAAGAAATGAAAGTGAGACAAGTTTGAATGATGATAGTAGTCCCCAGGCTGCTGCAAAAGTATCTCCATTAGCAATTAGTCGACTTTTGTCACGCAGCAGGTCATCCTTGTCTGAAGACCAACGTGATAACAATAAATTGTCCAGGAGCCCGAGTGCTCAAAGAAGCGCCAGTGTTGGACCAAAAAGTTCTTCACCTGCTTTAAAATTGTCTAGCACTAGTCATCTTTCTGTTCCCAAAGCGTCTTTGAACGACGGAGTTATTTATCTTCCCAAGGAATACAACCCTGCATTAGCTTTAACCAGTATCGAACAGTTTCATAGTTTTCTTTCGAAAACATTTCATGAAGAACAATATAAACATTTAGAAGAAAATTTTTCAGCTTTTTCTCTTCAGGAAGGAAGAGAAGATGTTAGATCTGACCGTTCTGTTGACGATTCTGTCATACAAAACGCATTTACCAACAGATATTTTTCAGAAAACGTGTTCTGTAAAGCAGGCAACAATTATGTTGACTGTTCTAATAGGTATTCTAATTATAAAAAATACACGTCGCGAAAGCAGAAAAATGAAAATCAAATAATTTGCAATTACGGAGAAATAATTACTGCTAGAAAAGTGAGAGAGTTACAAATACTGGGTTGTTTAATTGTGGAAATATTCTTGGGGAAACAGCTGCGTACATTCAATAGAAATAGCGGAGAACTGTCTTTTCCCGACAGGCTAAAAGCTTGTGTAACAGTATTAAGAAGTTGTAATACTGAAATTCCCATTTGTATTAATTACCTTACTAATCTCCTTTTGCAACCAAGTTGTACAAATTTTAGTAATTTTAAATATCCTACTGTAACCGATTTGGGTTTACCCCCACCTAGTCCACATCTGCTGTTAGAACCCCTGTTACATTGTGTGATACCTTTTCCAAAGCCTTTTTTCAAACTTTACTATCTTCTATCATCTTTAAAAGATTTTACTGAAGTCTCCCGTGAACTAGACATCTTATACCACTTTGTTTGTGACGGTCAAAAGTGTTTAGAGTATGAAAATATTGAACGTACTAAAATCTTGTTTGCTCAGAATATTGGCGAATGTAAAGTAAAGAAATGTGCTAGAAATTTAGAGATATTAATGAAAGATCTGAATGCAACAACAGACTTGGAAGTCGTATGTTTACTCCTACCATTCGTCAGAGATTTACTTGATGATCCTTCGACCTCTGTGCTTGCAGCTTGGTACTTGTTTGATCCAGTTGCAAGTATGTTGGGTCCTAAAAAAACAACTGAAAGTTTTTTAATTCCACTCCTTAGACTGTACGAAAATGAACTGAATCAGTTCACCATTCCTTTTTACACAAAAAGTGCTAAATTGTACCATCATAGTTTTTTGTTGCGTCTTATTGTACGTTTTGGTTTGAAAACATTCTTAAATAACTTTATGACCGCTTTAGTAGAAGGTGTTGGTGGATACAGAGATAATGATAAAACTGATTTTATTTTACACACCCACGTACAAAAAGCCTTCAGAAAATGCTCTAACTTAAGATCAATGGACTCTGAGGAGAACAACGATATTTCTCCTGACGATAATCCTAGCAGTTCTTCTGAGAAAGTAATCGATATTGTTACTAAATCTCCGACAAAGGAGAAGCCTGCCCCAGAACCTGAAGTTTTCGAGTTTGAAAATGATCCAGACTCAGACCAGTGTTACCAGTCTCTCATAGAGCAGTTAGAATTAAATATCTATTCCGAATTGCCCCTTAATCATTCTACAGCTGAAGAGGCTTTAGATGCAAGTATTGCAGAAAACGTGGAACAATTGCGGAGCTTGGAAGAACTCAATCTTAATTTAACCGACGGTGACTCTACGAAAGAAGAAGTGCAGTCACCCACAATCCCCATCCCTTCTCAAAGCGTTGCTAACATACCATGCGAAACAGGCAGTAAGAAAAGCGAATGCGAATACTTTTTAGACAAAAAGTCTAATGAAGTAAAGTTTGATCTGGACTCCTCCAGTTCCAAATCGTTCAAATTAGATCGTAGCAAATCTTCGGATTGTAGCCAATCGATTTCCAGCGGTTCTTTTCTAAGTGAACATACGAAACATTTATCCCAACTCAGGAAAAGTGAAGGAAAAATATCAGAAATGAGTGCTGACAGTATTATTTGGTTATCTCATCGATTAGGGCCTGTATTAACAGCGAAATATTTATCCAGAAATTTGCTCAAAATGCTCACACTGTGTTATGTAGGAAACGAAAATTTGGTATTTGTACGTAAAGATAGTGGTACTAATTATATGAACGATGGTACAGAACTTATTAGTATCGCTTCCAGTAGAGTGATTGGTGACGGAAATGCGGCCAAAGTTTTAGAATGTTTATCCCATATTGCAGGTAGGAAGAAATCCATTTTTGATTATTTTCTTTTGTGTTCTCCAACCAGGATCTTTTTTTTTCCTATTTAGGATTATACGGTGAACAATTAATACTTCTTCAGTATCTACCTCACATGAGCGAAATGATTAATTTATGTAAAAAACGGCTTACACCAAATTTGGAAGGCGGGCTTATTTCGTGTTTGGCTTTGTTGCAACATATTATTCCATATTTGTCTGATTCTATGCTGATGAATCATCTACAGGTACTTGTTCGTGTATTATACTCTTCATTTTCTTAGAAAACCTTCTACTTTTAGGACTTTATTCTTAAGGGTATATTGCACCCTATTATACGACTTCTTGGTACGACAAAATACTGCTTTCCAAGTAGTTATACTGCTCGAGATATATTAGCACGGAAATATTTAGACACCCTGTATCTTTTATCGTTGCGTATAGGCGTGGAAATGACCAGGGAACATCTTATGGTTCCTGCTTTGCAAAGATTTTTTATGATTTTTGACAAAGCAGCTGGTACTGTAACAGCCACAGAGAAAAGTGAGATGAAGGTATTAGATTAAAATTAACTAACAAATATTATGTATTCGTTTTATTTTGGATAATGTGCTTTTCAAGAGGATAGCATGCAGTCAGGAAAATGTAATAGTTTGTACAATATTTATCACCTTTACTGATACTTCAAATGGAGTTAAAATAAATAATTGACTTTAACTTAAGATTATTTGTTAGGAATGAAGTTGATTATGCTATTAAGCATTTTAAAATTTGCTGTATGTGTATATGATGATTTAGAAATTAATTTATATACATTTAATAGTAATTTAAGAGTATTTATGATTCTGAGGAAGTCCCTTTAAAGATAACGAAACATCTTATACGTAAAATGACTTAATATTATATTTTCTTGACTATCCACTACCACATTTAATCCTAATATGTTAATTGAAATGGACAATTCACTTCAACGTAATTATTTTAAAGAATATTTTGCCAAAAGAAAGCAGTCCATCGAAATCATTGGAGGAGTCACATTTTATTGAAGTAAGACGTGACGGTAGCATAATGGAATGGGCTATAGGGGGCACTCCTATAAAATTTTCCCATATTGACGATGATAAAATAGTCGAAAGTCTATCCCCACTTCCTACTAAAGAGGATAACTCATCCAATTTCAACGAACCTCTTAATCAGGTACTTTTTTGTTCGTCTCTAAATATTTCCAGTGACAATTTATTATTTTTGAACCTCCAGGCCCTTCAAGAATTGCGATCTGTATTCACCGCTGAGTTAGCCCATACAGCTTACATTCCATTCCTTAAACAAGTTGGTCTGTCCACTTTGACTTCGACTCTGCTAAATCACTCGTTTATTCGTAACCTTTGCGAAGAGTACGAGCAAGAAGTAAAATTAACCTACCCAAGTATTAATCAAAATATGACGTTCTTAAACTCAAACACTTCGGACATCTATAAAACAAATGCTTCAAAAAGCAGTATAGGTAGCAACGTAGCATTAATTGGCAACAGAATAGACGTTCAAAATGAATCAGCCCGATCGAATAGCGTGGACATTCTCAGTTTAGTAAGTAACAAAATGGAAAACAGCACAAGGCATTTGAGAGGCAATTGGCTCGCCTATTGGGAACACGAAATAGGAAGATCGGATAAGGATTTAATGTTCAACTTCAAACAGATCCGATTGCAATGCTTCTCTGGGCACAACAACAGTGTCAAATGCCTTCATGTTTTAGATAACGAAAACAGTTTCATGAGCGGCAGCAGAGACAAAACTGTAAAGTTATGGTCTTTAAGGAGCCAAGGGGATGGCAGTAGTGTATCGACGTGCCAATGGACTTATACAGCTCATAAAAAGTCGATCTTGGCCATCACATTTTTAGAAAGTATGAGACTGGCTGCTTCGTGCGATAGCATCGTTCACATATGGGATCCTTTTATGGGCGTTAATATTGGTTACCTAGAATCTTCCAAGTATCCTCCAGTTAATATGCTCAGATGCATGCCTTCGCCCAGTTCATTACTGTATGCCACCACCACTGATGGTACAGTTAGAGTCATTGATGCAAGAATATGTTCTTATGTCCATGAATTAAAGGTAAAATTTTCAGAGAAACCTTTATGATTTACCCTTCCCTATCAAAAACCATTATACCTCCTGGTTTGTGTTGCCTCATGGTATTCCCCTTTTAGGTCAGTGTAACGCCTGGAGGTTTGATACGTTGCCTTGCGATTGCCCCATCCGGTAATTGGGTAGCCACTGGCCAGTCCTCTGGTCAGATAACCGTTCTTGACGGAAGAACTGGCTTAATAATTTCTTCTTGGAGAGCTCACGAAGGTGAAGTTCTTCAACTAATCGCTCTTAACGAAAGCACTTTGATTTCCAGCAGTCTAGACCAAGTTACCAGTGTATGGAATCCGCAAGATGGAAAGCACAAGTTTCAGATGAAGTAAGCCTTAACGATATTTTTCAATACTTGCCCCTTTTAGTGAAGCAGAAATTTTAAAGGTCATACGGTAATAAGCATAGTGTATCATCGTCAAAGGTATCCTTATTTTATTAACCATTAAAATACTAAAAAAAAAATCAGTCCTCTACATTGGCCACTTGTTCTTCTGAAAACTTAAAAAAAATTAATTTCTCTCAATTTATTTGTTTTTTAGTTAATTAATTTTTGTATTGTAAAATGATTTTTGTTAAAATGAACGAAACAGAAGTTTATGTACTTTAGGGGAAATACCGAGCCCGTCCACTGCCTTCTACACTACAATAACGAACTAATATCGGGTACAACAGCAAACCGAATAGGCGTCCACACGTCGATCGACAGGGACGCCTGTTTTTCGAGTACAAAGTTACGTTCAGATGCCTTCAAAGGTCTACTTACGTCCATGGCACTTTTGCCTTTAAATCGCCTCTTACTTTTAGGAGCTGACAACGGAAACATTACTTTGTTATGTTAAAAAATTCGAATATAATATCATCGCAAGCGTGAAAGTATTCAACGAAGAGCGTATGACTATTATATAATATATTTAACGTTTCGCTGGAAATGATGGTATTAAAGTGGGGAATAATATTTATTTATTTATTTCGTAATAATTTATTTAGTAAGTGGTTTTTATTATGATTTTGAAACAAATTTGCGTCGCTGTAAAGCTAAGCTGAGATTTTAGTCCTTCCCTACAACCCCATGTGATAGTTAATATTTTTTAATTCACCGGAATTGGAATAATATTTGATTTGTCTTTTTTTATAAATTACCTTATGACTTATGACAGAGAATAATGTTTGTATTTATTAGTTTAGCGCAATATCAAACTAGATACAGGTCACATTGTAATGAGTAATTTAAAAAATAATAGAAAAATATAAAGTATTCACGGTTCTAATTGATCTGCTTTTAAAACACAGGAAAATGGCCAAAATGCAAAGTATTTACTATTTTTTTGTTATACTTATTCTAGAAAAATTCTTAACAATAATTATTTACCAATCAATATACCAAATTAAAACCCCGCAGTAGTGCAATTCTATAGTCAATTTTTAGATTAGTTGTACAATTTCACGTTTATTGTAGATACATTTTTTTCTTATTTTGTATAAATTTTGAAACGATTATGTTACTACGTGTAAGTATATATACATATATTTTGAAAAAGATAGGACAATTTATGTATCCATTATTTATAAATGATATGTAGATAAGGGCAATGAAGAATGAATTTGTTCTCTTGAAACTGAAATATTTACTTTCAAATGAAAATACTTTGGATGATAATCTTACATGCCATGTTAATTTGAAATAAGCATCTGTACTAAAAGCATACTCCTTTAATTTCTGTGATAGTTTAATCCTGTGAACGACATATATCGGTATTTATTTTTATTACCTGTTTGGGTGTTCTGTATATTTTTGTGGTATTCAATTGTCAAATATTAATAAATCTAAAAATAAAAGTTTCTTAAACAACCTCTAACACTTTTCCTATTGATAGTTCTGTTCTAGGTCGCCTGTTATAAATGAATGTAAAATTATTTCTTAAAAGGAGATAAGGAACGTTTTTTATGTTACATGTACTGTTATGCTTAATTTTGAATTACCCTCCTGTATTTAGTTTCTTTAAGTTGGTTGCACCCCTCTTGCGGCTGCCGGCGAAACTAGTGCAAGTTTTCAGATAGAAACAAGAAAGATACTTAAAAGGTGTGTGAAAAGTGCTTAAAACAAATTGTAGTTTTGTTTTATAAAGAACTATTTGAAGGTATAACTTCTTTGGTTAAGTTCTTTTGTAAATGCAAATCTTTCCGTTGTTTCTTAACAAATATAAAACTTATAATTGTACAAGGCATGTGATACTTGGAGTAGTAAGCGCGAATTAAAGTTACTGCTCATAAACAAATACATTTTCTAGTTTTCATGTTTGCTGCGTTTAAATATAATGTTTGTTTAATAAGCAAGCAGTATAGATAATTTCTAGAACTGAACATTACAAAATCAGGGCCTTAGCAATACATACTTAAAACCCCATAAGTTTTGTAACTTCAATTACATATAAATTCATGCTACTGCTAGTAAAAAAGGGTAATTGTACATTCCCGCATATAAGCATAAATATTTTAAAATTCACGTCAGATAATGTGGTTTGAAAGTACTTTGGTTGCTTTTTCATTCCATTTTTGTCATTTTACGAAATATAAAAGATCTAAGACAGCCTTTGAAAATTATTGAGCTGTAGTTGAATTTTTTCACTGTAGAGGACTTTTCGTTTGTTTAATATCTTTAAATGTGGTTGTGTGTAATAAGTGTTGTAAAAATGTTAATTGTAAATATAAATCTTAAGTTTTATTTAAAGGTAATAATACGTATCTTTTGAAATTTAAACAGTAACAATTAAGTACAATGACATACAATAATCAGATATATTTTGCAACAATTATTTTCATTTGTTTCAGAAGGTGACAACGCTGCTACATTTGGGTAAACGGAATTTTCAATGAAAGTCTTCGAAATGTAAGTGAAAAATAAATATTTATTATCATATTGTTCACAATGGCCTTTTAATAAGATGTTAGGTACTACCACTTTATAAAACGCTAGAACTTATTCTTTTATAAAAAAATAGGCTAATAAATAAATAAATAAATAACTTAATCTATCTAATAGTCTTGAAAAAATCACTACATAAGGTATTATACTACACACGAATATCGATTTATTAATTGTCTACCTTAATAACATTGTAAAGAAAGTTTGCATAAGCCTACGGATGAGGAGGTGGTTTCAGCATAGATTTTGTAGCTGTTGCCAGTTTTTGGGAAACTACCTCAGCAATATGGGAACTCTTTTTCCATATGTATTTGTGGGTCTTATCGTTATCTTCTTTACTTTCAATTCGAACCTAAAAATAAGCAGTAATGTTGTTTTTAACCGTTTACATACTTAATAGTAACTCGAAAGTAATATTTGCGAAGGTCGCAGGTATATATACCTTATATGAAATTAAAGGTTTAGGAATATTATATATAAAGAAAGTTATGAGTGCCGTCAGCACAGGGCAAAGTCGTATTACGTAAATGAAAGTTAGTATCAGCATTTTCTTATGCTGAATCCTTTAAATTTTATTCATTGATTACTATTACATCTATTAAAAACCCATAATGGCCGACATCGTAACAATGCGACAACAATTGAAAAAGAATGATGGCCGACAACAGCAACAATTAGAAAAGAATGATAGCCGACACTACGTCATAATATTGTTCACAAAAGTGAATTTCAACCACCCGAAGCAATGGTGCTAACAGTTTCGAGCTCGCAGTGACTGATAGGGATGAAAACTAGTTCTTATAAAAAAAATTGCGTAACAATCGGTCACATGGCTCACATGTGCGTTCTAAAACGTGCGCCATATTGCGAAAAAGTTTGAAGCGACCGTAACATAAAGAAACTTGCTCAAAGATTATGTTGAGTACTTTTTCTAATTTGTAATTTGGTCATTCGTTTATTTGAAAGTAATACTTAATTTACCTGCTTTGGTTGTAATACTTTTATAGAATGCAATGTTGCTGCTCCACCATTTACAATTTTCAAGGTCAGTTTTCCATGCATATCGGCCGTAGTGGCGGTTGCACTCTTTAATTCTCTTCTTTCGCCTTTGCCAAACTAAAAATTAATAAACAAAGATATCATATGCTCCATATCTTCCCCTGATTTGTGTATATAAAAGAAGATCGAGGGCACTAAGGGTATAATGTTTTATTTCTCGTGTAGAACCAACACCAACGTTTCGCCCCCTAGTTCTGTGGTTAAGAAGTTGTTTTCAAATAATTTGGTATTAGCAAAAAGCTAATGGTAATGAATAAAAACATTGAAACAGTGAAAAAACGTTGGTGTTGGTTCTACGCGAATAATGATGAAGAAATATTGCCCCTAGAGGGCGTCAAATGAATTTTTAAACTATGCAACCCAACATACACCAACTGTTCCATGATACGTGAGTTACTAAAGTTTTAATTGTTTTAAACTCTAGCAGTTCCTTATTTTAACGTTATATTTACCTAAATGTTTAGGTGAAATATTTACCTCTTTTTCAACTCTCAAAGTCAAAGGTCCCAAAAGAAAATTCGCTTTGACAGTTGTATGATCTGCCATCATATTGACCGCAACATCACCATCTCTTCTTATGGAACTTAATCCGAACAAAGTGGCTCTTGTTTTTTGTTGTTTCTTGTTAGTAGAATTGTTCTTCCCTTTGTTTTCTTTTTTCCTCTTGTTGCTATTTTTACGCGTACTCTTTCTGCTACTTTTCGCTTTTGTTTCCATTTTTTCTGTTGTTGGTTTATAAGATGAAATGGTTCCAGCTTTTGAGACTAGTACATAAGGTGGTTCTCTTGATTCACTTTCTATGGATCTGCTGATTTCGTAATTTCCCATTTTATGAAGCTCGCTAGGTGGGACCCTCGGTGCCGATTTGTCCGCTTGGGTGTTGGTCTTCTTATTCGTTTTACGACGTTTCGTGGTCGATTTTGTCTTGGTGGATGATGATTTTGATTGAAGTTTGACCCTGACTGGATCGTACGATTTCATAAGAATTCGGTTTATTCTTCCAACGATGTTGTCCACAAAACGATTATATTTCGTTATATAAGCCGATGGTAGTTGGGTTTGACCATTTTCTAAGGCCCCTAGATTTTTGAAAAGTTGTGCTTTGTAAACACTGTTTTTAAAAGTGAAATTAGACGTTCCGAACCGCTTCCTACTGTACCTATTTTTTTTTTTCATTTTTTTTAATTAAAAAAATTAAAACAAACCTTTTTTAGAATCGGTCTTCTCCTATTTTCCCAATCTAAACTTAAGTAGAGTAAGTCGACTAGGCATTCTGTTTTACTACATTTTATAATTGGGCCTTCAATTATTATTAACATTAACATTATTCTAGAAACGTTTAGCTATTTTGCAAATTTAAATTTTATGTTAGATTAAGTACCAATTGATGCAGGGCTCAAACAATTTCAATTTGCCTATTTTCATTGCCTCTATTTCATAGGAAAAATATCAATTATAATTTCCCTTGAGTCACCCACTCTATGGTCCTGATTCTGCAAGAATGTCTAAAAGTATTTGTTGTAATTTTAAGAATATGAACTTTTATTAGGTTCCAAGAAAATTACTAAATGCGTCAGGAAAGCACTAGGTAAATTTTTCATGATCTAGAAAGTATATGTTTACGCAAATAGATATTATGAACTGTAATGGGACATTTTTCAATCATATTTTCGACAAATTCTTGTACGTAGTATAAATCCCGTTAAAAATAATAATAATTCATACGAATTAGTTCTTTAAAATCCTTTTTAATTTTTTTTGTATACTATTCATCCAAGTACGTAAAATGTGTGCTAAAATTATTATTATAACAGGACTTTATCTAACAGGACTTAATCACTAGATAGACACACACACACATGGGATGTTTAACATATATATATAATAGTATGTAGTGAGTAAAAATGGGTTCTAATACGGGTACTTGCTTACGTATGCGTATATCTATGTACGGACATACGCATGTATGTGAGAACTGCCGGACACCAATATGGTTCGCTAGAACCCTGACCCAGTAATTAATTACTGGCCAGTGACCTTAACCACTTCAACTTTTGGTGGTACCGTTACTAGATATCTACATAAGTACTAAAAACCAAATGACCGTAATTAATTTTCTCTATTTAAAAGTTTACTTTCAACAATTGTAAAAAATTGATTGTACTGCAATCATTCACAAATTTCTAAATTATCTCTGACAATTACTGATGACACTTTGTGTGATATAAGGGAATAGTCGGAATTAGTTCATGAAAATCCGGAAAATGTAAAAAAATCAACGTTTTCTGTTGATTTTCATTTTTAACCGTATCATGTCTTTTTACATTAATTTGTAAAACAATTTTCAGCTTAAATAGTCAGTCAAGAATTTGTAAAATTTAAATATGATATTCAAGTTTCATTTTTTGGTACAATAGTTTATGGATATAATAATAAATAGAAAAATTTTGGACCGCAAATTTAAAAAAATAAATCATTCTTAATGTAAAAAAGAATGCGGTGTGTAAAAATTAATCAAAAAATTCATTTTTAAAAAATTTTTAAGACTCGTAAATTACTTTTCAATCAAACTAATAATTAGGGGTAGTTCTTAATATATCTATCAGAAACAAACAATCTACAAAGAAAATTAATAAGGTGAAATGGACCAATGCTGGGTAACACATTTTGATAATTTTTTGGTTAATAATAATGATAATTTTTAATAGTTAAACACCGATAGAGATCGAAGAAAATTAAAGAAAATTGTTATTGTTAGCACAGTCTGATTAGTTGAAGGAGTTTCAGTTATCACTGCGTAAGAAAAGTTTCTTTTGCACATAAAAAAATAGTAAATAATTAATTGTGCGAAACATATTTGAAAAATTTGATTTGATGAAGCTCTTAAAAATTATTAGTGAAAAAAAAATGACTGCTAAATAATAAAAATTGGAAAAAAAAATTTTTTTTAACTTTTTTAAAAGCGAGATTTTTTTACGGTTTTAAAAATAATCAAACATCGTTTTCGGTTGGATTTTTCGTATTAAGGGTCTACATATGTATTTTATTTTGTCAATTCAAATGTAGGTATGTCTCGTATGAAATTATTTACTATTTCTTGCTCAAAACTATTCTTTTCCACACTGTAACTCCCGAAACTACTTAAAGGGTTAAATTTCTTTTAAATATTTTTTAAAAGGAAAAATGATAAGAACCTACTTAGTTTCCTTGAAGGCAGTAGTCTAACGTAATTTTCATTTTATTCAATTTACATAATAATATCTAATAATTCGACTGTATACTATAATCTATCTGATCTATCCGTTATGAATTTGTGTTAATTGGTTTGAATGAATTACCCTGCAATCTGCGTCAGTACCGATTAAATGTGTGTCACCTAGTGACCTTGATGCTTCACTAAACATAACTTAAACTTTCTTGCATTGTCACGGACACATGTTGGGTCGACAAGTGTGTCGACGGAAAATTAACCCGGAACATGCTCTTCCATTTCAATAAAGATCCATTCGAGTGTCCATGTACTCACTGTAGACTGTATAGTCTTTACAGAATCAATTAATTATTGTAATGTAAGGACAATAAATAATGTTTCTTGTTTTGAACAAAAAATTAATTCTCTTATTAGTGTCTTTCGTATTTGTGTTTGGCTTTGTTTTCTTACAATGTCAATCCCGAAAAAAGCCCCAAAAATTTTTAAACGAAACGTAGGAATTTTGATACCTATAAATAAGGGGCTACATACACCGTTAATAAAGAAAATAAATAAATACTGATGCACTTAAAAGCGTTTTTTCTCAGAACTAAATTTTTGAAATCAGCCGCCATTTCTTCCTATCATGAGCCAATCTTCGCATTTCCCTATAAACAGAACAAGCTACACCTCTAACTATTTGCGAACAAAGATCTGATCTGAGTCTTCCTCTGCCCCTCTAAGCTACTGTTTCTGCGCCTAATATGCCTCTAACTAGCCCTTTATATCTCAGAAGGTGCCCACCATTTTAAATCTTTACTTTTCCTTATTGACTCCTATAGCGCCCTTTGTTTTACTACTACGATCTATAACACATTTCGTTTCGTTCCAGTACAGAGCCGTACTTCAAACACTTTTAGGAATCTTTTTCAAAAAATATCGTACTTTCAGCAGGAAAATGATAATATAAAGTATTTTTTCTAAATGGCTAACGAACAACATTCCCTCCCGGGTAAGAAATCGCCCTTACTCCTTCATAGAAAAGGATTCTAACATCCTCCACGAGGTTTCTTACCTGGATGGTTATGTTACTCTTTAAAATCAGGAAAAACTGTATTTTCGGGGCAAAGATACGGTAAAAAATCGAATACGGGTATTGGCAAGAAAGTACACGACACCTCCTCTCGGATGTTTGACACCCTGACCTTCGGCTCGGGTAATAATTCACACCTGGGGGGAATACCCTACTTTATGACTTTGGAGCGTAATATATTATTTTACTTATTGGATTATAGACTCGATATGATTTGATTTTGAACATAAAATTGTGGAGCACGTTTTTATAGTTAAAAATATGAATATGTTTCTGTTTTACCAAATTGTTTGTATACCACAGTTTCGTTTTATTTATAATCTACAAAATCACCAACAAAAAGCACAATCTATGTACGTAATATCGAATTATTAATTCAATTTATACTGTTTAGTACACAAGTTGTGTCTAATTTCAATTTTAACTTAACAATACTCCTATCTCAAGGCCTAAGGTATATCTGTGTAACTTAATATTAGCCCCTAAAAGAATTTCTACAGAATGCCATTTGCGATTGCTAAAACTGTACTTTAGAAACCGTTTTGTGTTGTGGGAACTAGGAGACCAACGACATTGCGGTTTGCGTTGCTAATTGTTAACTTTTACACTCAATATCCATCTTTGTAACGACGTTTTTCTCTTGTGTGTACAGGGCACTCTTCCGTATAATAGATTCCCGCAAAAACAAAACAAAACAAATGTTAACATTGTTTTGATGCATGTTTTTGTAGATGAATATGGTTCGGTAGTTTCTCACTTTTGATTTCATTCTCGGTAGTTATAGTAAGCGGTTCGGTTCATTTACGTTTAGAGCAGTTTTATATTAGAAGTGGAACCTCAAATTTTAAAAAAATTTAATGTTGCTGAAGTTTTGCAAAATATCGGAAACTGAAAGTTAAAAGTTATACTTCATGTGACGCGTTGAAAGTAGTCTTAGCGTGCAACGGAAGTTGCGTGCGCAGCTGTCAACAACAACTGTCAAATGTAATTGAAAACATTGTTTCAATGATAGATAAGCACACGCTTATTACCGAAAAGTAATTTAAAAAAAAAATTGTTTGAAGTATCACTTCCTAATTACTCTTTTTCATGTTATTATATAATACTTAGATTAATAATAACTAAATTAATTAGTTAATAATAAAAGCGCTGTTAGTCGTTATTAAGTCCGTTAGTCATTTATTTTCTCAAATGTCATGCTATTATTATTATTAGTCTTGTTAAGTGTTTGAGTCATTACGTTACCTTCAGCGTTAGTAGAATAGGAAATGAAGCATTTTGTTTATTTACCTTTTTAAACAAAAACGTTATATTTTTAGTCGGTTTCTTTATATCTGCAAGCAAATTAATTATTATTTAATACGTTAATTAGTCGTGAACCGTTGGAAAAAGCCTCGCACAAATCCTAGTTAGGTATATGGGGGAAAAAGAACCAAAACAACAACAATTATTACGGTACGGCATGTACCTCCTTGTTACATATGTGTTATGTATGTGCGTATAGTTTTGTTAGATGCCAACATGCAATTTCGATTTGGGTTACGGTTAATTAGTCCATGCAAATTAGTAATTTAATTAATAGGTATACAAGTATGCACAAATCTAGATAGATGTCACACGCGTATTTACACAAAACAAATAAACAAACAAATAAATGGATAAAAGAAAACACATGATGTAAAAAGTAGATTTCTATTTTCGCCAATTGTTTTTTTTACAAGTCACATTTTTTTACATTATTTCACATTCAATTTTTTTGATAGAAAAAATAATTTCGAATTGCCACTACAAATGTGACATTTACCTAGACTAATATGCGTAATAGTAGCGAAATAAATAAATAAATTAAATAAGGCTAATAAATAAATAAATAAATAACTTAATCTATCTAATAGTCTTGAAAAAATCACTACATAAGGTATTATACTACACACGAATATCGATTTATTAATTGTCTACCTTAATAACATTGTAAAGAAAGTTTGCATAAGCCTACGGATGAGGAGGTGGTTTCAGCATAGATTTTGTAGCTGTTGCCAGTTTTTGGGAAACTACCTCAGCAATATGGGAACTCTTTTTCCATATGTATTTGTGGGTCTTATCGTTATCTTCTTTACTTTCAATTCGAACCTAAAAATAAGCAGTAATGTTGTTTTTAACCGTTTACATACTTAATAGTNTTATTTTCATTTTGGATTATCGTAAATTGCATCCACTTAGAAGTAGCTGGAATTTTATGTAAATTTTCGTCATTGTTTCAGAAATTTATACTAAAAAGACAATATTACCTTCTCTTCCATTTATTTTTCTCATTATCATTAAATAAAAACAAGAATAATTTTCAATTTTAACGATTTCGTAAATCTCGTAATGAAACAGGAACGAATGTGATTAAAAAGTCTAACTGTATTAGCAATATTAACAAAATCGTTGTAATTTTCATAAAGGAGAACATTGAAAATATTTATTCTTTTCAACACATATACAGAGTGTTGAGCGTATATTTTTACATCTCCTTTTAATTAAATAAAATCAATAATCTGAAATGGTGGGGATAATTGTCCTTTTAGTAAAATATTTTCTTTAAAGTGACCAGTAGGAGATTATATAAAAAGTTTAACAATTACTTAAAATATTTAAAACAAAAACAAAATCTATCGCGTGTACGTCCACATTTTTTTAACATGGCTACCGCCCATCGAAACGTACATACAGTTGCTCAGGTTCGTTAATATACAGTAAATTAGTTTGAGCTTCTTTTAAGTAGGATACAATTTTCGCGTTTATCGGACTTTGTTGTTAGTTTTGGCGACTTTGGCCGCGTGTTTTAAATTTTTCCTTCGCTTGTGCGATTTCTTACTATGCGATCTAGACTCACGTGATCGTTTGACTTCAAGAACATCCTCGAGATCGTCGTCGTCGTCATCGTCGTCGTCATCGATGACGTCATCGTCATCGTCGTCGTCGTCATCGTCGGCGGCCAAGTCTAGTCCGTCATCGTCGTCGTCGTCGTCGTCGTCATCGTCGTCTTCGTTAGCCTCATCGTCAGCAGGCACCGGGTTCACCACCACGGGTTCGTCCACCGTATTCTGTGACGATTCGTTAAGGTCGTTCGGGTCTTTTTCGCCTACGGTCTCGTCACCCGTTTGCTCTTGTTCTACAACCGTACCCTCTGAGGACGTCTCGGACTCGGCGGCTGACGCTTCTTCGGCAGCTTCTTCGACAGACGGTTCCGCGACGGTCTCTTGAGACACTTCCTGGGCAGCTTCTACTGGTTGAGATGCTGCAGGAGAACTTGCAGGTTCATCTTCGTCATCGTCGTCATCGTCTCCTGCAATGCAAAACAAAAATAAATCGGAAATCGTCGATCTCCAAATGAAAATTAAAAACAAATTTATTTACTAAAAGTAATGTGTACTCTTTGACATAACCACCTGAGACAATTTATCATATCTTTCAAGTATCTTCGTCATAAAATGTTGTTACCAATCAACGAGTCTTGACGCTGCCTTGGAGCCCCTGGTTAATTTGGAAGTGATAGGTCAGGATTCTTCACTTCTGGCATTGTTTTGATCCATGATCCATTGAAGTTGTTGAGAGATGCGTTGGGTTGCACCATTCCTGTGAGGACGAGTGTTATCATGAACCAGAATAACTCCAAAAGCTATCAGACCTAGTACTGGGTAACTTCCAGCTTTCCCTGCTTTTCCCGCCTCCAAAGCAACGAGGGGCTTCCAGATTACGTCAAGGTTCGTTCAAATTAGTTGTCGACGACAATCTCATGAAGACGGTTTTAGAAGGCTTGTCCACAGGTAGCACAAATATCTCAATCGTCAATGTGATTATGTCAGAAAGTACATAGTAACAATTATTGACAACAATTTTGAGTCCCTTTTTTTTTAAATAACTTACCCCCTAAAATATCGTCAAAGAAGCTTTCGAAATAATCATCTTCGTCGTCGTCGTCTGCAGCTGTGTCGTCGTCGTCGTCATCATCGTCATCGACCCCCAGGTCTAAATCGTCATCGTCATCGTCATCATCTTCTTCATTGCCTGACTGCCTTCCAATTGCTTTAGCTTTCTTGTCTCCATTTTCAACTTTTTCCATAGACTTTGTTTCTGCAACCGCTTTGCTTTCTTCTGCGGGCGCTGCTGCACTTTTGGCAAGTTCACTTTCTTTCTGAAAGACACCGGTAGTGTCTTCTTCAAGTTTACCTTTTGCAAGGACTCCTTTACCTTGAGGTTCGACTTGTTGCTTCGATTCTTCTTTCGAAGATTTTGCATCCACGGGATTTTCATCCGATCGTGAAATTGGATTCGCTAATCCGTAAACGATCGACAGGCAGATTACTGCCCAGAATATAGGATTCTTCATCTTCCTGAAAAGATGAAAAATTATATTTTCTGTCAGGAATTACACGTCGGACAGCGCGTGACGATTGGGTTAAGACGCGAAATCGTTACAAGCAAACAAATTAACTCACATTCGCATTTATTATTTAAGATTACACCGTGTTATTATTATTCCCATTTTAATCCATCTTATTGTTAATAATATATAATGTACATAAAAACTTCCGTGTTTATTATAAAAGGAAGGGAATAAAACTTCTATTCATTTGTTCTCAAGAAAGGTAGATATCTAATTCGTAATTTAGGAAAATTATTTATTTAATTTTGAAGTCGCAAAACTGTGACCACTAGCAAATAGCATTTAGCACATTGAAAATGTGAAAATGTTAAAATTATTTATTTAATTTTGAAGTCGTAAAACTGTGACCACTAGCAAATAAGATTTAGCACATTGAAAATTGTTCAGGCAGTTTTTTTTTTCTGTAAAACTTGTTTTTTGGTACTTGTTTTTTTAACAGCTTATAATGATACAAAGAAACTGCTTCCAATTAAGCGAAACCGTTAAGTCTATAATCAGCTACGATATCCCTGCAAAACATATAATAACTAAGTAATTTACAATCTACCAGGTATATGCTTTAAAAAGAATTCATAAAATAAATATGAACTGCAGTGGTGACGTTTATGCAGATTAAACTTTTCATTATAATAAATTATATGATAAATGGACATTGCCGCTTTTGAATCCGATTATTAATTTTTTTTTGTACAATATTACCTTCTCTTCCATTTATTTTTCTCATTATCATTAAATAAAAACAAGAATAATTTTCAATTTTAACGATTTCGTAAATCTCGTAATGAAACAGGAACGAATGTGATTAAAAAGTCTAACTGTATTAGCAATATTAACAAAATCGTTGTAATTTTCATAAAGGAGAACATTGAAAATATTTATTCTTTTCAACACATATACAGAGTGTTGAGCGTATATTTTTACATCTCCTTTTAATTAAATAAAATCAATAATCTGAAATGGTGGGGATAATTGTCCTTTTAGTAAAATATTTTCTTTAAAGTGACCAGTAGGAGATTATATAAAAAGTTTAACAATTACTTAAAATATTTAAAACAAAAACAAAATCTATCGCGTGTACGTCCACATTTTTTTAACATGGCTACCGCCCATCGAAACGTACATACAGTTGCTCAGGTTCGTTAATATACAGTAAATTAGTTTGAGCTTCTTTTAAGTAGGATACAATTTTCGCGTTTATCGGACTTTGTTGTTAGTTTTGGCGACTTTGGCCGCGTGTTTTAAATTTTTCCTTCGCTTGTGCGATTTCTTACTATGCGATCTAGACTCACGTGATCGTTTGACTTCAAGAACATCCTCGAGATCGTCGTCGTCGTCATCGTCGTCGTCATCGATGACGTCATCGTCATCGTCGTCGTCGTCATCGTCGGCGGCCAAGTCTAGTCCGTCATCGTCGTCGTCGTCGTCGTCGTCATCGTCGTCTTCGTTAGCCTCATCGTCAGCAGGCACCGGGTTCACCACCACGGGTTCGTCCACCGTATTCTGNCCGAACATTGGTCCAGTATTGATATAACAAACTGATACTTATTGACTGTCCTGTGCTGGACCAAACATAGCAAAATGTTAATGTACCAAACATTGGCACTTGAAGATTGATCGAACATTGGTCCAGTATTGACAATGACAAATCGATACTTGGCAGTACCGAACATCGATACTTGAAGATTGGCCAAACATTGGTCCAGTATTTATCATACATAGCAAAATGATAATGTACCGTACATTGGCACTTGAAGATTAGCCGAACATTGGTCCAATATAGACAATGACAAACCGATACTTGGCAGTACCGAACATTGGTACTTGAAGACTGGCCAAAAATTGGTCCAGTATTGATCATACATTGCAAAATGTCAATGTACCGAACATTGGCACTTGAAGATTGGCCGAACATTCGTCCAGTATTGACACTGACAAATCGATACTTGGCAGTACCGAACATCGATACTTGAAGATTGGCCAAACATTGGTCCAGTATTTATCATACATAGCAAAATGATAATGTACCGTACATTGGCACTTGAAGATTGGCCGAACATTGGTCCAGTATGACAATGACAAACCGATAGTTGGCAGTACCGAACATTGACACTTGAAGATTGGCCAAACATTGGTCCAGTATTTATCATACATAGCAAAATGTTAATGTATCTTGAAGATTGGTCAAACATTGGTCCAGTATTGATCATACATTGCAAAATGTCAATGTACCGAACATTGGCACTTGAAGATTGGCCGAACATTGGTCCAGTATTGACAATGATAAACCCAAATAGGCTGTCCAATACTGTACCAAACATAGCAAAACGTTAATTTATCGAACATTGGCACTTGAAGATTAACTGAACATTGGTCCAGTATTGATGAACTTATACTTGGCTGTCCAGTACTGAACCAAATATGGAGAAACGCAATGAACCAAACCTTGAAGATTGATAAAACATACCGAACATTGATTCAATATTTGCAAGCGAACGCTTGGTTTCCCAATTACCGATAACTGCGGTATTTCCTAAATGGGTAATACCTGTTTAATGTATTCTACATACATATTTAAATCTTTTTGCATGAATATAATTTTTAAGTGGTTCATGCTGGTACCTGCTATTAGATATTTCATACATTAAAAATATGGCACGTCTTTTCACTCACGATTCACACAAATACATAGATACATGTCTGTATGTGTACATAGAATGTATGACGGACGTTTTACAGTAATCGTTTATGTAAAAAGGACAGTAAAATGTGGGCTTGCATATTTGACACAAATAAAAAACTCGAAACATTTATAGAAACATCGATGTTGGAAGATAACTGTTTCTGTGTTGTAGCATCCATTTCCGATTAAGTATAACGAATAATAAATTCCTAGAGTCAATTGATTCTACTTATAAAAAATCGTTTAACAGATTCACATTCCCACCGCATACCTACATAATGATTGGTTTTACATAAAATTAATTATTAAATTAAAGAAAAGTGAATTTTGTTCTTCTTTTGTCATATTTGAGCACCCAAATCTAAGGTGCATGTTTTAAAATCCATTAAATTTCTAACAATTAACGTGCGGATTTTTTGTAATAGCAATGAACTTCTTATAAACTTTTACTTTGTAATTAAAAAAAGGTCCTACAAGCTGCGGTTAGGAGTAAAAGTAAATAAGTTCAAATTTCAAGCTCCGAATGTATCAAATGAATAAATTAATTAGGGCAAAACATTGAACCACTTTCTTCAAGCACTTTTAGGTATAAAAATGTAGGTCCTGTTAGCAGTTTTTAAAAAACCAATAGAATTTAACAAAACGTACAAAATTAATTTTGCTAGGTCGTCTAGGAATTATTAATAAATAGCAATGCAATATTCATATGTCTTGCCATCATTAGCATACACTTTCAAATTTTGAATTTACATTCAATACAAATAATTACATTTTAATTTAACCCTCGGTATCTCTTGTGCGTTAGTCGCAAAAAAAAAACTCGCAAATTTGACCATAATAATAAAAAACATTAATAATAGTTTTTATGGACTTTTTATTCGACGCACAAAACGCCAAATCGAGCCAGAAATTTTCAAATATCACTCACGATATGTCTATTTGACACCTGTTGCTTTCGCTGCATATAACAAGTTAACGGGATCACTCGATTTTTAAGCAAATAAAGGCGCGTTTCTACATGTAGATAAGTTTGTGCAGTACAAACACGTTTCGACCATCGCCATCGTCTCGCCACCGTCCGTGTCGCCTCCGCGCTATGTATGGCATGGTTATAAGATAGGCGGAAGAGGATGGTACTCACCTTGTAGGTCACAGAGCGAAGAAATGCACTATCACTAAAATAACACCACTCTGACGAACAACACGAAGAATAAGAAGAAGTAGAGGGAATAAATATAAGAGGAGCTATGACCCTGTGTGACCGCTCCGAAGGCGCTTAACCACTAACAACTCGGTGCCTTCCTTCGCGAGCTCTTATTATACCACCAGTGACGTCACTTCGTGGGCTTCGAGGATGTCGAACAATTGAAGAATTCCACGAGGAATAGACGACGAAGACGGCCACATTCGACCAAGACGGGGACGAGGTTGGACTCGATTTTACCACTTGCACTAGAATCGGCTTTTCGTTACTTCCGGTTTTCGGTCGCATATTTTCCTACTTTTTTTTGGTCTCCAAATAGACACCAAGCTATGAGTTTCAACGATTCCTTAATCATAGGACTACCCCTCAGAATTTCGTCAACAGACTTTTCAAAATGTACAAAAAGTTTCATTGTTATCTACATGTGCTGAAGAGTAATATGGGATTATGGGTAAAACTTCTATTTCATTCAAATAGCCCTACCTGTGATAAATTTGGTCTTAATATCCCACTATACTGGTCATTTTATGAATATTTACGGTCCACTCTACAAATTCAAAAATACTCCAAATAGCAGATTTTCACCAAGCTAAGGCTTCTTCAGACATTAGTACTTAGTACATTTTGCGTTTCTGCTTGATTATGGATTTCAAGCTCGTCAGTATGCTTACGTCAAAGGTCAACTTGCACTGTTTCTGACATGCAAATTTTCTAAATCAAAAATTACAAAATTTATGATGCATAGGCTAAATTATTTAGCAGTATTTTGGATAAACTTACAACTAAATTTTAAAATAAATGTATTTCGGGCGATAAAGCGTTACTGCAACACGATGACTTGCTTTACTATGTGTAATCTTGCTTCAGATTCATAGACATTTTGAGTTTTAGAAAATACTACAAATGGCGCACTAAACGCCATCTGTAGCAGGTATTTTAGGATTACGTATGCTCGAATTATTTTATTTTGAGTTTTCCTAATTTAGCAATATTTATTAGAAAAACCAACAGCTTCATAAACAATATGAATTGTTTAAGTTGTTATTATTTTAACAATTCTTCTTGCTCTTGATCTTATTGTTGGTTTTCATTTTGTTATTACCTTAAACTTTTAAGTAGCATACCATCTTCAACAGCTTAGTCAAATTGAGCACTTTTAACTTTGATAACTTGATTTACTTAACTGAAAATATCTTCCATACAGTTAATAGCAAACAACCCGAAAGAAGGAGCATGATCATCGTCTTTCTACAGCCAAGTTTTTGCTACAGTACGTGTGGCCTGCAAAATTTGCGAACTTTTAAAAAACACCAGTATGTGTATCGAATGCATTGATGAATTTTTTTGCTTTGCAAAATATTCCGCGTGTGTAAATTTGTATAAGAAAAGGTAACGGATTCGACTCAGCTCAGAAGTTGTTATATTTTGAGATTTTATAGAAATTATTAAATTATAGTTTATACTTTAAACCATGACAAAACGTTCAATAAATCGTGTTGATTTACTGCTTGATTTTTATAGGTTGTTATTGTAATAATTACTTTAAAACAGACGCCTTTTAATGTTTCAATATTTATTGTAAAATATTTCCGACGTAATGCTGAAAATTGTAATATATTTCTATTCTAATCGTAAAACAGATTATCTATAATATGTTCTCTAATTCCAATAACGATCTTCCCATTACCGTGTCCGTATGAATTCCTAAATTGCTAGTTTATATCATTTCTCTTCACTATTTATAATTATTCTACCTAAATATATGTAAATTCTGAAATCACTTCAAAAATTAATTCATCCTTTGGTCTTTAAAGTTATTTGATTTAAAATTCTAGTTTAAAACGCTTTTCACTTACTTAATGTATACTTCCTGTTTCAGGAGCAACAAGTCATGTGTTCGTTTCGAGAGACCACATGTTAATACATTGCAACATGAGAAAATGTAAGTTTATTTATTTTTTATTTATGCGAATTAAAAATTACGATTTTCGTCTTTTTTCACTTTAATATTGTTCTAATATTTAATAACAACAAATCATTACAAACTGTTATTAAGAAATTTTTTGTGTTATTACGTTAAAAGATGTTTACATTGTTTTACGTAGAACAATATTTTTACAGAATGTTTTGTAGAGTTAATTATGAAAACAAACGAACATCCCTTTCTTTGTGAAACTGTCGAAGAAAAATTTCGTTGGCTTAGGTATCTAGAGCATAAAAAATGCCATACGAATAAAAGCAGTGTCACGAAATAACAATTTATTTAAATATGCATATAGAATTGTTCTTATGACGGTCATGTTAGTTTTGCGCGTATATTTACATAGATATAATCTTATGCATGGAATTCTTGCTTTAATAGAATACGGCCATAACCATAAGAAGGTAGACGTAATTAAATAACATAATAACAATGCAAGACAGGAAGCCATTTAGTCTACTAACCTTAAAAAATAGTTCTTTATATTATATACAAATTGTCCGCTCAATTTAAAAATATTTGCGAAAAAAAAAACAAATTGNATATTTTTTAAAGGATTTAGAGTCATTTTTCGTTTATATTGGAGCCCATAATAAATCATGCCCAAATATTTTTCAAGATATTATACTCAAAAATTTAAAAAATATATATTTAATTCAAATTCCTCGCAATTATCCATTTAAAATGACACCCCACATGACCCATGGATAATTTTCAAGGACCCCGTCCCCTTCCATATTCTTTAAGTAAGGTAATTCATGGAAAATATTATTTATCGACCTGCAAACTTTCTGCATTGAACAGTGATTTTGTAAGGTTTCCTTCTTAGGGGCCTTCATAAACCTAATTTATGCTTAACTGTCTTTCGTTTGCTTTGATTTATACAGTTAAAGCAAAATTTTTCCCGAACATAGAAATTAAACGTTTCTTTAACAACATTTTTTCTTTTCATATCAACTTTGATAAGTGTGTGAAATATGAAAATACTATCTGCTACTCTGAAAACTGAATTCTCACAATATTCTGACTTGCACTACCCCCTCCTTCCCTTTAAGGCTTTAAATTGCATTTATGGTTCTTATTACTTTATAGCTTATTTTAAAAGATGGGGCTGATGTCCCCCACCCCCTTTGGTGATTGCATATATTGTAAAAAAAAGATAGATATCCCTATGTTCGGTTCTCAATTTGCTTGTACTGTACCTATAGGAGGATTATTCCTAAATTTTGTTAATTAAAATTTTTTAAACTGTGCCTATTATAAATACTTCTACTCCGTTCGTATTAACGTAAAATAATACATAGTACTAACAAGTAAAAAGTTAACTGGACATTCAATGTGATAAACAAAAAACATTTTATTACAATCTAGACTTTATAATAGTTTAAAATGTTAGCGCTTAAAAACATAATTAAGTATGACATGATGTCTTTCACAGTTAACCAACTTTTTAAACAAAAACATGTACTTATTTTACGGATTAAGTACAAAATTAAACACAGATTTAGCTGTTGTCGTTAAAAACTTAAACAATTTCACGTATACACTTGACAAAGACATTGTGCTATTTTCATAATTTAATTTTACAATTTTCTTTTTTGTGCACGCCATCCGCAATTTTCCTTTTTGTGAACCCCAGAAGTTCTAGTTACGTTTTCATATTTGCTGTATGCATAAAAGCAAGTAGAATTTAATCAGGCACGGGGTACATCTGTCACACATAAAAGAAGAAAAGATAATAAAGAGAAAATGGACTGAAGGTACTTGCGACCTTGGTCTTTCATTTCTTTCAAGATCTAGGTCGAAGAAATGACAGTAGGTCGCATACTTTTCGATTTCTAAACGCCACAACGTCATCGAGATCTTTCTTTAAACGTCTAATTTGTAAATCTTTACTGATCCTGAGGATACAATATACTAATACTAATAAGTACTTTATGCAAACTTTCGATTTTTTGTTGATATCAAGAACGATTTCTAAAAATAACTCTGGCGATATTTTGATTTAATTAAACTAAGTGTCTTAAATATATGGTCAACAAGTTAATGAACTTGAACTTGTTTTCTAGGAAAAATCTCATCAAAAATTCGATAATCTTTTATACAATTAGGTAACTAGGTATAATATTCCTTAAAAGAAAAATTACCAAATTACAATAAATTGTATAAAATATTTATCAATATTTATCAAGAAAAGTTAATGTATAAACAAATAATTACACCCAAAGTGTTAAGATATTAATGTTACTGATACTGATAATACGAAAAAGCCAGCTCTATATGTTTATACTATTATACGCTTTTTATCTACAAACATAATAAAAAAATAGTTTTTTTCTCTTTTGTGGTATGGCATCCAATGTGAAAATTATATTCGATGACTAGATGTATGTAAGTATATAGTATAGGTATATATATTATAAAATTGTTTCTCTTTCGTTTTCTATTCGAATAGTTATGGAAAATTGATCAAATAACAAAAAAAAATTATTTTCATTTTGGATTATCGTAAATTGCATCCACTTAGAAGTAGCTGGAATTTTATGTAAATTTTCGTCATTGTTTCAGAAATTTATACTAAAAAGACAATATTACCTTCTCTTCCATTTATTTTTCTCATTATCATTAAATAAAAACAAGAATAATTTTCAATTTTAACGATTTCGTAAATCTCGTAATGAAACAGGAACGAATGTGATTAAAAAGTCTAACTGTATTAGCAATATTAACAAAATCGTTGTAATTTTCATAAAGGAGAACATTGAAAATATTTATTCTTTTCAACACATATACAGAGTGTTGAGCGTATATTTTTACATCTCCTTTTAATTAAATAAAATCAATAATCTGAAATGGTGGGGATAATTGTCCTTTTAGTAAAATATTTTCTTTAAAGTGACCAGTAGGAGATTATATAAAAAGTTTAACAATTACTTAAAATATTTAAAACAAAAACAAAATCTATCGCGTGTACGTCCACATNACCTTGTACGACATTTTTATTATTGTTAGTGTCGGTAGTAGGGCAGTTTTGTTGTTAAGATTTGTCAAGTAATAATCTTTTAAATGTTTAAAAAATGTCGTTCCCTTTTGCAAACAACAAAATGTTTCCAGCAAATCACAAAACTGTTTTTGTCTTAGATCATACCCCATACTTTGGCATATCATGCGAAAGTCCGATTGAGTTTGAATTTTTAAAAACAAGAGGACCCGGCTTTATCCCTTTAAATCCAATTTCTAAATCCCTTTGGACATGCAGTGTTGAATCAGCAATTGAATATTGTAGAATTGTTTGGGATCTATTCCCACAAGGAAAATTAGTAAGTGAAAATTATTTAAAAAACAAAGTGTATTTATTAATGATCACATTTATAGGTTAGGTTTATAGCAAGTGATACAGTTGCTCATATTTTGAACACATGGAGCCCTACACAGCAAAATTTAAATCATGTACGTACTCTAGCTCTCACAATAGTGTAATTTGAAGGTAATTAAATTGATTAAATTATAGATTATGAATGGAATGTCTTTAATCGGAGTCCCTCCTCCACCTCCTTCTCGGTCTGTCCAACCTGGACTAGACTTTACTGTATTACATGGACTGAGAGCAGCAATAGAAGCATTAAGTGAATGCACAGATCTACAACATGAAAAAAGGAAAGCAATTGCTGCTGGAGATGATCAAGTTACATTAGTAAACAGGTGCCGAGTTGTCTGTATAACTTCTGCAAGGGACAACGACAGTATGAAAAGATTAGAAGAAATTTTTCAAAATGTACTCCAACAACAAAATAAAGTGGCTGCATCCTCAGATAGGTGATTATTACTATTAGGAATATTTAAACCTAAGCTTTGTTTTTTATTGGCTAGGGCCTGTACTGTTATCTGCTTACTTACTTAATTTGAGAGAATATTTTATTTCATTCTGATAAATAATTAATGTGGGGTTCAACATATTGATAAAGTGTACTGTTTTATTTCAGATTTCTGACCATTGATCATTGTCATTTAGTAATTATTAACACATTTCCTGTAAATATAGAATCCCATGTGAGCAATCATGCTGTAAGACATGTAGGTAGTCTTTTCTGAAAAGAAAAAATGGAATTTTCATTTCTTTTATATCTTTTCAGCTTTCTCCAATACTTAAAACAGAAGTTCATTCAGTCAAGGCCCCTTTTATTTCTAATAAGTTATCATCTCTGATTTTGGACCATTATGATCTGGCCAGTACAACAGTAACTGGCATTCCAATGAAAGAGGAACAGAATGCTAGTTCTTCAGCTAATTATGATGTTGAAATTTATCATTCGAAAGACGCTCACACTGCAATTTTAAGAGGGAATTCCCCAGACTCTTTAGCCATTCGAACAGTGAAGGAAGGGCTCGAATACGAAACGGTAAAAAATAATAGTATAATAAAAAATATGATTGATATTTATTAAAATACCTTTCATGTCTTAGGTGACACTTAAGTGGTGTACCCCTCGAGGTTCTGCTACTTCTGAATTACAAAATTGCACCAGTATGCACAGGATAACGCCAGTGGATGTAAATTCGAGACCTTCTTTGTGTTTAATAAATTTTCTTTTAAATGGCAGATCTGTTATGTTGGAAATGCCTCGAAAAGCAGGAGGAAAAATTAGCAGTCATCTGCTGGCCTCTCATGGAGGGGAGATTTTCATTCATACTTTGTGCACAGCTAGGTATAGACATTTTTTTTTTTTTTACTTAAATTAGTAGTTGCAATAATACAAAAGAAACATATTTTAAAAATGTGGTAGTAGTCAATCTTATTACTACAAACGTAAAGTAATAGATCTGGAAACATTTAAATTAATAAAAAGAAAAGTCTTAAAAGCTGCAACAATTTGACAAACATAACTTAATAAATTAAAAAAATAATAATAAAGCTTCGCAACATTTAGCAACTTGTTATAAGTTTTTTAAATTTTTTGTATTTAGATCTGTCCTAGAAGATCCACCGTCTATATCTGAAGGTGTTGGAGGACGAGTAACGGATTACCGAATCACCGATTTCGGCTTATTAATACAGCAGAACCGATTATTTCCATTAAGACCAAGTTATAATACTGAAAAAGTCAATTCGATATCAAAAATGAAAGCAAGACTTAGCAGGCACACCAAATATTGGCCGCTCACCATCAGCTCTACTTTAATATTTAATCTAAAAAATGTAAGATCCATTAAAAAAAGTTATATTTTTCTTCATGATTAACTAATAATTTTCCTTTTGTAGTGTATTGATCCATTACCTTCAATTATAACGAAAGAACGAATAACTGAAGAAGAGGTTGTTCAGTGCAAACAAGTGATTTATAATTTGATTTCATTGGAAGCCAAGCACGAATCTCTTCACTTACCGAATACAGGCCAAAGATCTAAGGGACAAAAGAGGGAGGAACAGTATAAAATAATGTGGAATGAGCTCGAGACACTTTTAAAAAATAACTGTCACACAGAAAACCACCGAGCAGTTTATAATTGTCTCATTGAATGTCATAAATTCAATTCAGAAGATGGTACCATTGATGTAGATCAAGCTCTGAGTTTCGTTGATCCTTTAGGTAAATTTTATTTTTTTTATTATTTTACATACATACTTTTTAAATCCTTGACGTTTTTGGTTGTGCAACTCTCATATGCAAACTAGGGGACGGTGGGGGTACTCGAATTTGGTGAGGGTGCTTGATGGACGTGTTAGGTCGCGCGCTATGTAGTCAGTGTTTCTGTACCTCTACCCTCCACTTTTTAATAAAATTATTGTACTCCCCCAATTTTCGTAGCAATCTAATTGATATTTTTTCGAAAATAATATTTTGGCAACAGCTAGGCGCCCCTTTGCAATAATCGTGTCTCACAGGTTGTAAATCACTGCTGTAGAGTGAAGCGACATAGCAATACACACAACCAGTGGGGATTTCTGGGCTAATATTATACTATATACAGTAAATCACAGGATACAAAACAATATAGTTTATTACATTGTTGTTTGACATTTGTGTGGTATTTGTTGGATTGGCGCCATTCAAAAACTCAAGTAATTCGTCTAGGTGGTTGAGTTTGCTCAAGCCAGCCCTGGGTTTATTCATATTTGTTCATTTGCTTCAGGAAAATCTGACTCAGATGTTCAACGTGCTTCAGTTATTCGTGCAACAACAGATTCGCCCATGTCTCCACCCCCTCTAGCGAGTATAGCACCCCCTCTATCGAGAAATATTCTCAGTAATCGGTCTGGCAGCATTTATTCTTCGACTCCTCGCACCTTGTACGACATTTTCACGAGCCAGGACAAAAGTAAACAGAGGCCAGACTTCGCAGGTAGGTCTGATGAAAATAAAATTGCAAAATTATACCCTAATCTTAAAATCGAAAATGAATGGGGGCCTCGAGGCGAAGGAATGGAAGTGGAGTAAATGTGACTTAAATTATTTATAGGAGGGAATTGTTTAGTACAACATTTTATTATTACGGAAATATTAATATAAAATTAATTTGTAAATGGGAAATGTATATACGTTGACTTTTTGTAATTAATAAATTAATTTTTATGCTCAACATCTTAATACTTAAAAGTTTAAAAGCATATCGAGTGTATTGCCTTTTATGTATACACTTTTTTAAACATTTTGTACTGAATTGCTAATTAATACAATCAGATGATGATAACTTATAATTATTTTTTTGTGGTAATCTTCAGGTTGTTTTTGAATTTCCACTCGAAAATTTTGAAAGATTGTTCTAGAAGTCCTATTTATTTACTTTTATTAATTTATCTATAAATTTTTCATCATCTTATTCTATATAAATTAATAATCATCTAATTTTACTCATTGTCCTTGTCGTTGCATTACTCCTCTTGTCCTTCGTAAGTCCTTAATTAATTAAATGAAACATAACTGTAGCCGTGAAATTTTATATTTATGAAAATATTCTACAAAAACCTCAAATGATTTCTACAAATGATAACTTAGAAAGTCTGACCGCGGATATTTCTGTCGGCGAGCCAGCATGCGTGTTAACAATATTTATAAGAATGAAAGCCAGGTTTCTTTATAAGGGGGAGCGGATAACTATTTACAAGCAAAAACATCCGCGCTCAGAGACGTAACACCTCGCTATTTTATTAATTAAATAATAAAGTGACTAACTATTTTGTTTTTATTTTTTCTTCTTTGTAAAAGTGTATAATATGTTCTACAATATTATTCGTAAAGGCATTCAGTTATTTGTTTTCTGTTTATTTCTTCTTCTTCATCATTATCATCTTTAATATTTCCATGGTCGTATGGTCGTCTTCGTCTATACATATCTATATAAATATTTTTAATTATTTTTACGAAACGACGTTCGAAATTAAAAAACCGCCGGGCCGCACATTACATTTTCATTTTATTTTTTTTGTATTACCGCCGATTTCATAACGCCGAATGTCTTGAATTAATTATTTACATTTGAAGTCTCTGTTGTTTCTCACATTTTTTCTCTTTTTACACGTTACATTACCATATAATCAGTTATTTGGTTCATGGGTGTAAAATATAAGAAAATAACACTTTCACGTACAAGAAATTATAAAACGCACAATTTTTGCAAGTAATTATCAAGAAACATTATGTATTACAATTATTACATTCATTTTTCGATGAAGTAATTAATTAGCATCATGTTTCAACGATTATTATGTCTACCAAAATGTAACAGGCTTTGTTTCCGAACTGCAAAAGGAAATGACTTTATTAATTTTTATGTTTATTTAGTAAGTTGAACCGTTCCATTTTTGTTTTCGTTTAACTTTTGTAAATTATGAAAGTTTTGTTTTCTTTGAGTCTTTTAGAATTTGCGTATTTTCCAAAATTATTTAGAAAAGAAACTATAATGACACTTTTTTAACATACAAAACGAAAAAAAAACATGAAATGGAATGTACCTTGCATTAATACATATAATATACGAATGCCTATAAATTAAAAAGATAAATGAAATAAATTACTTAATGCTGCTACTATGTATACTATAACGATTAAGAAAATCTTGTTAGCTTTTTTTTTAAAGTATCAAAATAGTAAAACTAGAAATAAAATAAAAAAAAACAACAAAGAAACAATGGATATTTTTCCATGACTTTTTTAACGTCACATACTCCGATTTATTATTTATATTATTTAAGTGAAAATTAAATAAAAGGCAATGGTAACTACGTAATTTGATAAATAAGTATCCATATTGTGCGTACGCGGTCTTATCAGTAGAATGTTGTTAGTATTATTATCTCTCGCGTACTTTTGCAAAGCAGTTTATTTTCAGTGTACAACTGATAAGAATACGAACGACTGGAACTTCTATGTTCTCTTTAATTAACCAATTTTGAGAATGAAAGAGAACAAAGGAATCCAATGAAACGATTCTATAATCAATTATCTCAATAAAATTTAAAAATTTTATTTTATACGATTCTTTGTTTCTGATAATAAAATACCTATTTATCAAAGTACAAGGCAAAGCAGAAAAAATCGGCAACGTAAAACATTTCTTTTTTGATTTCCACTGCGTTTTGCTTGCAACATCCATCCAAAAATATTTACTATGTACGATTACTCAGAAAAAAAATGCAAATACCTTCCGTTTTCTGGGTGTTTTCGAAAGAACAAAGCAAAGGAGTACACTGTATGAATATGAAGAAAGGCCAATATCCTTAATATAAACTGACACATTTTGAGAGAAATTTGAAATATTTCAAGACAATACAATTGTTTTTCATTTACACATTCTGCAGTATTCATTTACTAAATGAATGTTTACAAAATACTTACATTTATGGCAGTTGTACTTTATCACATTTCAAAGGACAAAAAGAAATAGCTGGTTTTTAATGCAAAGGTACTAATTTTAATTTATTCAGGAATTGTCCATTTTTTTTTGTTTTGAAAATTCTTTATTTGTTAATTATAAAAGTTGTTAATAATTTTTTACAGCCTTTTTACATATAGGCTGCAAAGAACAGTTATGAATGTTAACAAATAGTGCAAGCAACTTAGAACTGTTTGCACATATATGTATTTAAATCTTTTCATTTACACTTTAAGTAAAAATTGTTAAATTTGTTTCACCTCTTCAACATCGGGTCAACTATGAAATTATGGACTACAAGAATTTTTGTTATTACTTTTTCCTTGAAAAGTATGTATAAAACATTTTTTTTCTCTCAAAACGGATAACAATGCCATCAAAGGTTTATTAAAATAAATACTTACATGTATGAAACCCAAGGGCAAATATTTGAGGAAATTAATATGAAGACGACTTTGGTAAAAAAAAAAAGGGGTTCACTTTTCAGATAGAAGCAACAAAAAAAGAAACGAAATCACAAAAAAACACCCAAAAGAGAAATGATCACAACATAAAAATTAAAAACTACGCATTATTTTGTTTAAACATTCACGATAACTCTAATCTTAAAACTTAGAAAAAATGAAGTGCAAATGTGTGTGTATTTGTGTAGGTGGGTGGGGGGAGGATTTTTACGACACCATCCGCCTCATTTGTCACTTGTCGCCTATGTTACTTTTTATTTTTTTGTTAGAAGGCTGTTCCTCGGAATTTGAGTTGGAGTCATCATCGAGGGGTCTCTTCAGGTCACCCGATACCGAATCGTTGGTCGAGTCGGACACGATACTGTCATTCGTTTCATCGTTCGCAACGATGGGCGTGGCTGGTTGACTATCCTCGGTGAAGGAGGTGGTTGTATCTTCGTCGAGGACAGCTGCAGACTTACCGTTCAACGGACCCTGGTTACTTTCATCTGACGTCGTCGCGTCCAGGGAGTCCCCGTTCTGGTGCATCACAGGCGTTACAGCGCTCAGTGAATTCCCATTTTCTAGCGGCACATCTGAAACAACAGGAAGCAAAGGTAAGAAACTACACAATTCTTATGCATGCTCTTCTCTTACTGACTTCTAAACGTCATTCTAAAGAAAATAGAGGCAATATAGGAGAACTATATTTTAAAGTTATACGCCAAAAACGAACAAACATATTGTTAAACAGTAGTTATCCTAAACTGATTTCTTAATACCGAATTATGCAGGGTGTTTAAAAAAAATAGTATTAAACTAAATTGGAAGGTAGAAGAATTGGGGTACATTTAAAACAACTTTACGTCTGTTAAATTTCTGTTATAGTTCAGAAATTGCGAATTTTTTTAAGTAAAAAAGAACACTAGGCCTTTACTTATACACTTCTAAATAATTTTGTTTTTATTTGCATACCGAAAATTTAAAAAATTATAGTAGTAACAAACAATATCCATTATGACTTTTATACAATCAAATTGAGGTGTCTTTTATAATCAACTAAAAGAAAGAGAATATGTCGTAAACAGTGTAAACAATTTGACCACAAACAAAAGGATTTTGCAATATTCGCAACAAAAACGACTTCCAAATCAGAATTTTTCATGGGTTCTTAGTAGAATTTTTCTATAACTTACGAGAGAGCAATTCTGGTTTAAGTTCCGATACAACGTAATGGGTCCATAAAGCCAACTCGACCTTATGCGGGGACCACGTGATACTGCTGTTAACTTCTTTTACATTCTTATTTAACCTATCAACGGCCGTCTGGATGTGATTAACGAATTTCAGGTACTCCTTTGTGGTATAGTCAATTCCTTCTATTTCCGGTATCGCCATTAGACATTCGTCTGCCATGAAGGGTGCGCTTTCTGGTGACGCAGCCGCCAAAAGGGCTACAAAAAGAACAATAAACAAAAATTACTTATCACACTCGCACTTTAACGCAGTAATAATGAAAGTGCATAGAAAAACGCAAACTAAAAAATACATGATAAAGGTATATTACCTATAAACATATATATATGTGCATATTTTCAAATACTAGTTCACCAATGCAATAATAGGTACGTTATTTTTTATGAGAAACTCAATGTACTCAGTTCATGCTAATTAAATTTGATGGTAAATTTTACACAAAACAGTGTTTTGAGTTGCATTCTCTAATATGAGTTACATTATTCTTGAAAACCCTCTCGAGAAAAGTTGATGTTCTATTAATTCCTGTGTAGTATTTTTTATTAAATACAAAAATGATTTTTTAACAGCTGACGAAAATACTTTTTAAATAAGTAAATTCGTTCCACTACCTAATTAAACATTAATTTTATAAACTTCTACGTGAGTATAACTGCATAGTAGATCGTTTACCTTTTTTATCATGAAATTTGTAATTGCCGGAATATTTTCATCGTCGCAGTCATTCAAAAAGCAATTTTAAACGAGAATTACATGGTCAGTAGAAAACACAATCTACAGTGAAGGTTGCATTTTAGTATGGAATTGTGTAGTACATGATAAAACGCATAGCACTGTTACGTTAATTAACTATAGGATTGAAGTTTGCATTTCATTAAAGTACACTTTCCAGTGGGGCACCTTTTAGAACATTATAATAAGAGATCAGCAATTATTTTACTACTTAACACTATAACTTCTAGTAATGTGAGATTGAACTTTATATTTTAGACTTTTCCCAAAAAAAATATTTTACATTGATAAAAAATAGATTAGCGCTACCTGATGCCATTGTAGTTCCAACTCCCTTTAAATTCGAAAGGGCCGTTATCGCTTGCTCTAAGTTAGGTAGTTTTCGGAAGGCTTTCTTGGTTTCTTGCATTACAGCTCTGGGTGTGTTGACCTTCACGAGGTAGGACAATTGGGGATAAAATTTACCCCGTACTTGTTTCCATTTCATCGTTTGCACCAGCTCTTCATGTAACAGGTGGGCGTCTTTGCCACGACTTTTGATTTTTTTAGGTAATTCATTCTGATACCTGCATGTATAAATAACAAACAAACAATGCAAAAGAAAATAGATAAATTGATAAACTAACAAGATCAACAAAAGGCAGAAAGTATTTAACTATAAAATTTCACCCGGCATAATAAGCCATACTTCATACAAGGGACATTAATTGTTCATAAAGAACTAGGTAGGTTCTTTTCTTTACTCGTTAAAAATAATCAAAACTTCAACTAGTTAACAAGCATTAACCATTTTTCAAAAAATAATGGCAATTTTTAGATCAGAAAGTACTTTCTTATTTAATTTCTCTTGAATTATTATGACGATTCGTGCGGGTTTAAAATCTCAAGTCCGGCCCTGCCAAATATGATGTGATAAAGCAAAATATATCGTACACAAAACAGCGTCCCCATATTATAAGAGAAGGATAACTTTATTCGCACGTATAGTAGTCTCCTCTGAACTTGATTGATTGAATTCCGCGAGTGTATTCAAGTTCAAGGTGAAACGTGCATTCGTAACGTTGGGGGTTGTTTTATTATTAGGGAAAGTAAATCGACATATGCATACGTACATTATGCCTTAAATTTTGAAAGAGAAATGAAGAAAATTTATAAAAGCTTTTATATTTGGGTACAGTAATTTATTGCTTTTCAATCGGGAGATTAAAATTAAGATCACAAAGTCTATAGATAATTGTGGTAAACGTATTATTAAGAAAAAAATATTAATTTCCTTATGTAATCATTAGCAGCTAATTATAGGCATAACTTCCCAAGTATTTTTTTTTTAATCAAGAGAATTGAGAGAATTTTAACAGTTACTGTGAACACCCGTACACGTTGACAATGATTGAAGACGAGAGGTAGACAGATACCAGTGACGTAATTTCGAAGTTTAATAACCAAAACAAACAAACCAGATCGGTATCTTGAACTTTACGTACGATAATTAAAAAAACAATAATATGCAAGATGATTCAACGAATCTAACTTGAACTGTATTTTTATAACTGCTCCCATTAATTATTTTCTTATTTGATATCATTAGCAAATTAAATCAATAATTGTACCCAGGGTAGGTACTTACAACCCTTTATTTTATTTATCTTGAAACTATCAATTCATAATAATAATACGTCTAATCATAAGTATTAACCCAGCCAGAAACGGTTTTTTTACAAGGAAAATATAATTCATATTACCTAGTTAAATTGTTGAAATAAGTTAAGTATTTATGTTACAATTATCAACAATACAACCCAAAGACTGGAGTTTGTCCTAGTACTTTTCCATAGCAAACAGGTGTCCTTATAGCTCCGATTTCGTTACAAAACGACAATGAAATTATAATGAACCCGTTAAATATATAATAATTAACATATCATTTACTTTGCGTTTCGTTTTCGTGAAAATAATAACAAAATAAGCCAATTTATGAAACAAATCCCCACCTCATTCGTCATCGATGCAAAAGTGCTATCAATTATTTACGCCAATAAACTAGTGATAACCATACAGGGAACAAACGCAAACACGATTGGATAACACGTTTTTACTTGAGGAATTTTGAAAATAAAACGCGTCAAAATTTAAGTTGAAAATGCGTTTATAAACAATTTATTAAAGTCATCCGAGCAAGCTTTGTTTGATCAGGCACCATTTTGAAAGGACAACGTAGTTAAGTTGTTAAAAGGTCTTGTTGTTTATAAAACGTCGTTCGCGAACGGTTGCAAGTGCAAATTATTAACCAAAAGAAATGTGCAAACAGGATATATTTGTTAAGTTTGAAACAGATTTATTCGAAAGAAGCCAGAAAACTTTATACAAGCAACGATGCACGTAGCCATTATACTCTAGACACGACACAGCCATTGGAGATGAGCGAATTAATAACCTTTAAAATGCGAGTAAACAACGAAAATCTCGGTGTAGAGTGCAGTTGTCATCGATTATCACGTGACAAGCGTGATTTTAATGACCGGCCGCTAAGATATCGCGAGGGTGTCTCACTCTGAGGCCGACAGCGGGCACATATAAATGCGAGTTCAATGACATTGTTCAAAAAAAGTACTCACCAATTGTCTAGTTTGATCAGTTCTTCGGCTTTCTTTGTTTTCTGTTCGGCTTTGAGTTTAAGGGCTTGCGGATACAACTTGAGTACTTGTTCGAATTGCGAAGAAGTACCGTGCTGAAAAAAAGTGGCCGTATCTTTCGCGGAGGCCATGGTAGTTCACAAACTCGACTGGCACTGTTCCGCTGGCGTGCTGTATGTACAGTAGTGCGCCTGTTTTCCGTAGCACTAACCGCGGCAGCACCAACACTCGTATGGCTGTGGCCTCGATGTTCCCCTAGCGCTAGCGCTCCTCGCCGACGACCGACGGCTTCAACATTGGCTTGGCTTGGCTTGGTTGGGCCGCCTAACAAAGTCTGGCATTACCCTGCTGCTCGCCGCGTTGCCAAACGTCGCGCAACGGGATTTCTTTCCGTTATGCAGTAATTTTCGGACTGACGCCCGACACTTCATCAATTGATATGTTCACTGTGTGTAGACCGACGACAGGTCATCGGTTTTGCTTGCAGTCGTTTCGTGATAAGAAAAGAACACTCAACTTTCGAAAAATAGTAAAATTTTATCTGTTTACACTAAAACTGCAGCGAAAATCAATACCGAATTTATTTTTGCCCGGCCTTTCCTCGTGCCTTGTCTAATGAAATTAAAAGTAGGCAGCAAGAAAGAAAAAAGTAACGGAAATTAATTACCGTTCCAATTATTTTCTACTTAAAAAAAAACATTCATTTCACAGGGATTGTTGTGTTCACATTATTTACAGATATGCCAAAATCACATTAAAAGTTGTGTAACTGTAGCAGAAAATTTTAAGAACAATAATAATCATTTAATCAGCAAAAATATTTAAAATATATTCTTTAATTCGTAATTTTAAAAACATACTTAGGTATTTACGAGCTGTTAAATGCCTTTTTGTTTTTAGTAACTGATGATACTCCTTCAGTTTAACAAAAACTGAATGTAATTTAAACAATTACATTTTATAATGTGCATAAAATAATTTCATAATGACACTAACAATAATTTTTTACTTAAGAAACTAGTTTTCCCTTACGTGCCGCATTTTATTACAATCGGCGTTTTTATTTTTTGGATGTATAAATAAAGGAAATTTGAATGAGATCTGATTGCTTTAGAGATCTGTTTAAATGCATTTCCAAGTTGAATCGGTTTTTAAGCAAGCTTTGTAATTAAACTTTAACTCTTTCTCAGCTTCGGTCAAATATTTTGTCGCCCGTTTCTTCGCATAATCGATATGAAATCGTTCATGCGGCAACGTCGCGCGGCCGTTTCCTGCTATCATATTTGTCACTACTCGCTGGTTTTTACAGCCAGCAACGAACAGCACTGGGTAATCAACAAAATTATCGTCCGTGTCCATATACCTGTTTTACTCATACACAGAGGGTCGGCAGTGCCGCAGGACGACGTCTGACTTTTTAACTTCTACATTTCGTCCTACATTTTCTTTTACAGGATATCGGTTTGCTCGCTCGACCTGACCCTGCTGCTATAGAGCAATTCAATTTTATTTTTAACCAAGTGATTCCAGATTGATGATCGTCTTACGTAGGGTCTTCTAAATATTATCGATATTGAAGTGTTCCTTCTGACGATACGCGTTTCATTGTTGCAGTTTCGGTATTGTTTTTGTTTAACCCCTACTGAGCTTCAAAGTTTCTTTGTGCGTAGTTTCTGAAATTAACAGAAGTCAGTAGCGTATCATGCGAATCTCATTTCGGTATATCTATTGCAAACTGTAAAAATACGATGTCATACGTCATACGTCATACAAACTGAGATATTCAAAAAAATTGACTGCCTGTCTGTACGGGCTAATCTTCGAGACCCTTAAACAGATTTCTATAGGTCTTTACAAACAGCAAAAGGAGGTTGCCCGCAGTATGTAGGCTACGTTTTGTGACTTTTTATTGATTATAGGTAACAATTGTATTCATTATAATTAATTAGGTTTGTTATGATTCAAATTTGATTAGGCATTTCACCGCATCATGAAACTGCCTATATTTACTAATACAATTTGTTTTTCTAAATTTTCTGATGTGCTTGCAATACGAAATTAGCGATTGAGAACAAGGACAGCTTATTCTCACCTTTACTACAAGCAATGTTAATTCATTTTGTTACATCAGTTTCATTAAAATTTTTTGGAACTAGGTATGCATATCTTATATAACTAAAAATTTTCATAATGCGCCTAGTACCATTTTTGTCATTTTCGCTTAGGTGCGACACTGGAATCCTCTTTCATGGAGCAGGTATCCAAACTTTTAGATTATTTTTGTCTTTTTGTAAACTGAGAATTGTGATACATAAAAATATTCCTCTATTCCGAATTTTGTAGATACAGTGCAAAGATATTGAGAACTGCCAAAAACCATAAACGACTTGAATTATTAAATCGGACGCCCTTGTAGAAACGTTTTGCGTATTTTCGCTTGTGAAAGTCTAACCAACACCAATAGTATTACGGTACACTCATCAAAAGCCAGAGTCGAATGAACAACCGTCGTCGAATACGAAAAGTCCACATTCAGCAAAATGTGTTGTGTACCAACTGTAACTTAACGCAAAGTAGTCATGGGTTTTCACAACAGCTGTCCTTGTTCTCTGAATACACGGTATTATGATACGTACACGCATGCAGGGCCGTAGTCAGAAGTATACCAGGGCAGGCTAAGGTTACCCCTGACAAATATTGAACTACCCTAGCAACTAACTCAAGATTTCAAAGATTTTACTCACAATTTCTGAGTTTTGTATAGGAGTACAAGTAGTAATTAATGAATAGTAATGGCGAAATTTAATGAATATTATTACAGTGAATATAGAAACTTCGAATGTAATCCTTATTTCGGGTTGGCTTGTTAGGGTTACAATTTTTATTAAATTTTCGATGGTATAGGTAGATTAGCTATAGTATGGCTATACCACTGTAATGGTAAGATTTAAGGAATTCCATATTATTATATATATATTTATATACAGCCATTG